ATCCGCGCCCGGCGAGGGGCGCGGGGCGAGCGGGGCCTCGGCTGGTTGGTGCCCGGGTGGCGGAGGGCGTTGGGTGGGCATTGGTCGGAGACGGAAACGCTGGGTACGGTTTTGCCGGCGCTGGAGTAGAACCATTCTGGCTGTTCCTTGGCGGCTGAGAGGGGCACCCCTGGGAGCACGGCTGGGGCTGAACGCTCATTGCTGCACACTGAGACTTAGCGTGGCTGAATTGCCCAGTCCCGGGTGCACGGGATCGGTGGCTTGTGCTGTGGCCTGGGTTATCACAACGAATCTGTTCAGTGCAGGGGTTCTCCCGTAGTGCTTAAAGTTTGTTCGAAAAGCCCTATTTTTCCAGTATAAGTAGTTGTCCCCGAAGGCTTGAACTGTTGTGTGAATGGTTTGTTGGTTCAACTCTTGAGAGCAGAATAATGTGTTTATTTTTGCATGGTCAGGTCGCAGCGCCTTAACAGAGAGCTGCTTTTTATTACTTTCAAATTTATTTTGGAGAACTGCTTTAGTCTCTGTTTGCAGACATGTTAGGTTTTGTTTGTAGTGTTTTGAAGAATGCCTTTGAAAATCAATTATGCTCACTTTTAAACTTTCTTTTTCCTTCATGGTATCTGGCACGGTTGTAGCTTGCGCATTGTGTAGTTGAATAAATCCATTTTTGTGGCTACCAAAGCATGCAGTTCTAATTTACTTCTAAGTGGGATTTATGGACTCTGTCCAGACTGTTGGTGGTGTTTGAGCTGTTTGCCATCTGCAGAAGTCAGAATGGGCATTGTCTGTCAACACACTGCCCCCCTTGGTTGCCTGAAGCTCGGAGTGACTGTACAGTCTGTATAATTACAGATGCTTTAGTTGTGATGATTAAGTCCTTTTGTACTTGAAGTTCTAGAAATGAGCTTTAGCCCTGCTCTGGTTGAAGGCTGGGAAAAGGAGTGCTGCCTGCTAGGACAGAAATGGAAAACTGTTAATTTCTTTCTGCTTTTACATTTCCGCTAATACTCAGTAAACTATTTGAATATGCATGTTAACTTAGGTTAGGAGAGTCTTACACTGTGCCTTGTATAAATGCATTAATGCATTAAAAAAATAAATAGGCTCCTGCTGTTTAAATGGTAACTCTTCTTAGAGACCTGGAAAAGCAGATGTTGAAATGTATGCAGAGGTGAAGAGATTAAAACCATGGTAAATCAGACACTAGGTAGGAGCTACATTTGTGTTAGGCTGTGTTGTACAGTAAGTGGTGAATTCTCACAGGTGTTATAAGCAATAACTAGGGTGACTTCACGTGACTTGATTGTTTGATCAAAACGTGTTGTTTGTCCTGTGGTGCAGTTGCGAAATCACTGACAAACCAGTGGTGTGTCAGATCTGACTTTGAGGTATGGATATAGAGTGTGCAAAGGCAAGGAAACGTATGGTTAAGTTGTTGCAATGCATTGATTCCATCTTAAAGGTTTTGGCAAGCTTTTTTTACTGTTGCTTTTGAGAAGGTGAAGCACTTTGGTTTGTTTGTTCAATCTAGGATGGATGCAACTCTGAAAGAGCTGACCAGCTTAGTGAAAGAAGTTTACCCAGAAGCACGGAAGAAGGGCACACACTTCAATTTTGCAATTGTTTTTACAGATCTCAAGAGGCCTGGCTATAGGTAAATGGCATTTCTTCTCTGGGTTACTACTAGACTATGGGCACCATGCAGTAAATTATTATTCATTAGCACTGATATTAAAGTTCAGAACCCATATACCAGACTTTTGAAGTTTTTTAAAGAGAGCTTGTATGATGACCACCACAAACCCTAAATTGTGCTTGGTGACCATCCCTGTTAATGTCTTCCCAAAACAATGGCTCTGTGTGCATGAAGGCCTTGGCCGATGTATTGGCAACCAGCCGGAACACAAACCTTCAGCTGGAGGTAATGCTTTGTTCCTGGTAGGTCTTGCACCTGAGTTATAGCAATGATCTTGTTGCAGGCATCTCTTTTCCAAAATGGCATGAGCTAACCTTTGCCAGCATCCAGTGGATATACCCTGCTCTGGAATCTGTGGAGTCTTGTGCTGTGTCTGTTTGGAAAGGGGCAAGGGGTTCTTGCTAGTATTATGACAGGGTAAAAGATTCCCCCACCCTCTTCCCTGTCAGAAAGAGCATTTGCTGTAGCTTTTCTTGGTGCACCTGGTTCTGCAGAGAAAAACCCCAGTGTCTTGTGTACACAGCCAATGCTACCTGGGGTGCAGAGGATGGTGTGAGAAGGGGGTTGTGAGCCAATACCGTTCCTGTTTTGGACATCTGGAGAGACCGGCCGCTGATCACTAACTTGCCTTTCCTCTGCTGCTCACAGGGTGAAGGAGATCGGCAGTACCATGTCGGGCAGGAAGGGAACAGATGATTCCATGACATTGCAGTCTCAGAAATTCCAAATAGGAGACTACTTGGATATAGCCATCACTCCTCCGAATCGCGCACCGCCCCCATCAAGCCGCATGAGACCTTACTAAACTACTGCTTCTTTGTATGATTACACATTCTCTTTATTCCTACTTGCTGTTCTAAAGCAGGCTTATTTTTGTGCTTTTGTTGCTAAGCACCTGAAAACAAAGCAGAGCATCAGAAAGGAAAGTTAACTCTTAAACCTTAAGTTTTAGTTTATTTGTTTAGTAGAAACTCTTTTTTTTTAGCAGCGCCATCATCCTATCCCTGATTGTTGCAGTTTGATTAGTAAGTTAGCGTGTCCAGTGTTTCAAAGCTTCCATAAAATATGACCGGGAGGATTACAGGTGGTCTGTAGTTCTGTCTTGTTTGGAATAAAGATTGATGTTATTAATCTTTTGATAGTGGTCGTGTATCGAGGCTCAAGGTTCTGTGTTAAAAGTTACTAATGAAGCTGGGGGTTGTCCAGAGTTTTTAGCAGTCAGCTTTTAGAATCTGAAAAATGAAGGGGGGGTAGCTGGGTGGAGGGGTCTCAGTTGTCCATGGGCAAACTGGGCTGTGGGTGTGCGCGGTGTTGCCTGGTACGTTCGTAAAGGAGCAGGATGAAGAAGGGGCGTTTTCACAGCAAAACAGTGCAGCACTGGGAGGATGGGGCCTGTGGCTTCTTAGCTCGGTGCTTGCCAGTTTCTTCTGTCACTGCAGGGGGAGATGTTGAGACACACGAGTGCCTCTGGTCTGTGGCTGACCACGAGCATCCAGCTGGTCTGGGCAGAGCCCAGCACTTGGTTCCTGCACACTGAGTCCCTGTGTGCTCAGAGAAAGGCAAGAGCAGGAGTAGAAGCCGTTGTTGCTCCTTAGAGCCTTCACCTTCCTTACTTGAGGCCTGAGCAGAGGCTAAGACTGAAGTAAGTGTTCCTGTCTGCTGAGGACAAGGCATGCTTTGTGTCATGAGCTGGGATCTATAGGTTTGTTTGTTTTTTTTCTTTCAGTCCCTCGGTGCAGTATAGCCTGGGGGTTTTAGGTAAAAGTTCCGTCCATGGCTTACTCTTCTGTCCCCCTTCTCTGGCTTCTAAGTTGAGTTGCAGTTTCAGCCTTCATGAATGTCTGTCATTCAGAGAATCACCTGTGTCCAAGTCACTTTTCCCCCGAAGACTGAAAAGTGTTCCTCAGTTTTTTAAAGAGAGCTCAAGAAAATACACTACAAATGGTGCTTACAGAGGACTGCACCTGGAAGTAGCAGTGGAGCTGCTCTAATGTTGCCAGAGTTGGGATGGATGGGATGGTTTGCCAGGATGCAGTCACCTCTGGTGTGAGAGGGAGGTGCTCCACGATACTGCTGCTGTGAGGAACAGTTCAGTGACTTCTGTGTCACCAGGGGCAGGCTTGGTCACGTTTGGGACCCCTGCCACCTGCCTGCTGCCTGAGATGGCTGATGTTTGGCACCTTACAGACCTGGACAGACAGAAGAGTGAAAACTGCTGCCAAGTGGCCTCACTGATTGCCACAGGGCATCCTCTGTCCTGCCAAATGAGTGAGGTGAGCACTGCAGTAACAGGCACATAATTACAGAATTGTACAGCTCCCACCTAAGGCAAGGACAGACCTGCCATTAGGGGTACGCAGGAATATGGACATATCCTCATTTTTGGGTCCTGGTTTTTGCTTTAATTGCATTTCATAAAATGAAATGTAGTCATTATATAAGGCAACAGCAGCAAGTGAGCCTGTGTCAGTGACTCAGCTGCTCTGGGAGGCAGCTTGGCTTTGCTGCTGGAATGGTCCAGTGAAGGCCGAGCGAAGGCTTGTGCCTGCCCAGCTAGCAGAGAGAGAACACCTAATGGCTTTATATGTGGTGGCCCATGAAGCAAATTCACCAGTAGAACTGCCTTCAGTAGCAGATATTACAGCTTGACTGTTTAGGTGAGGAGTTCACCTTCCCTTGACTGCCATGAATCTATAAACTTCAGCTGATCTCCCCAGCTGCTTTGGGAAAAACATCTCGGGGAATCAGATTTGCCCTCAAACACTTGCACTTCACACAGAAAGGTGATGCAAAAGTGGAGAGAGTTCAACTTTTTGTGCCTATTGTTATGAGAAAAGACACTTGAGAGCCCAGTGTAGTTCAGGTTAGGAGTTCCCTACATCAAAATCCATTAGGCAATCCAGGCCAACGGCAGCAGCTGTGAAAGCAGACAGCACCAGGGCACAACCATCCATATGTGGCAAGAAGTGAATGGGAAGTGAATGGGAAGTAAAAGCTGTCACCTGCTGAGCTCCTATTGCACAGGAGGGAATTCACTCGCAGTAACAAGGTTGGGTTTGTGTCTCTCAAAGCTACTATAAAAATTGAAGGATATAAATCCCTAAAAAGAGCAAAATATGTAGAGCGTGGTTTGGGGAAATAAAAACATGATCTCAAAATTCATTAACAGTGAGCAATCCCGTATGCCCAGGAAGCGGTGTAGACAACATTACATCCGGATTTGTCAATCCACATGATTTTCTTTGTATGCAGCAAGTTGATGAGGAATTTTTGTCCTCATCAAGGCAGCTGGATGACTTTTTCATTTTTTTTTTTGGATGCTTAAAGCTGTAACAGACACAATTCTGTTTCATGTCTGCACTTTCACCAGTAACCACCCTTCCAAAGCTTTTTGTCTCCCAGCTGCATAAGACAAAGAACAGGAATGACAGCTTTCAAAAAAAAGGTCTCCTGGCTTTGACATTTCTTAGCGGTAAACCCCATGAACAACAGCCGAGACAGCTCTCGCCTCCTGCCCAGGCCCCAACAGGGATACCACACCTACCTCACCTCCCTTCCAGGTGTCCCTCCAGGCCTCGCTTTATCCCTGTCCTTCCTCAGAAGGTTTTTTTTCTCTGCCTCTAACTGGTAACACATATCTGGACCACTCCTGCAGCTCTCCAACCCCCGTGTACCCAGGCTCCTCTGGTTGCTGCAGCCAGCCCAGTGAGCTGGGGTCCCCAGCAGGGCCAGGAGAAGCACTGCGTGTCCTGCCTGTGGGGTGCAGCACAGACAAATGGACCCAGATATAGGAACCGAGGCAACTTCCCCTAATTTCACCTTTTTCACCCTCAATAGCACTTACCAGAGGCTGCTCTGCTCCCACAGGTGGGCCTTTATGTTCATGTGTTCCCTGTGATGTGCCTTTCCTGCGTGTCCACGTTTGGCTTGTCATGAAGGACTCTCTGCCATGCTTCCCCAAACAAACGTAGTTCTTAGAACTACCTCCTCCCCCCATCATTTTATCCACCTAAACCAATGCTTTTTTCAATTTGATAAACAGGAAAAAAAGTGTATCAAAAATGCTAATTTTTTCCACACCAAGAAACCCCCCACTGTTACCTTGTCACACCTTAGAGAAATACTGCTCCTGCTGTTTATCATTAGCCAGGCTTTTCAGTCAACATGGGGAGGAAAAAAGATTCTCTTCCCTGTGCTCAGGCCTTAAATTAAGGGCTCTGTTTTCATAGTCCCCTTCTGATTTCACCACCTGTCCCCCACAGGTGTAGTGATGCTTATGTACAGGAACAGACTACAGCCCCAGAGGTGCAGCCATGACCTTCCCTGTGGTGGCAGCACAAGCCTGATAAACATTCTTCTGTAGCACTTTTGGGAGAGGCTGCCTGTGTCTCTGGTGGAGGAACTGGTATGGGTCTTAATTACCTCCCTAGTTAAGGAATGAGGACAACTCACACACTTTGTCAGTAACCTGTGCAGCATCGGACACAGTCGTCCTTCCAGCACCATGTTTGCCTTCTGACTGGAGCAGTTGTGGAGGCTTACATTTTACGTTACAACTCTGGTCAAAAGCAGAAACAGGTGTGGAGCAGTAGGAAAAAATTAGGCAAGTAACTCAGTAAGTTCTTACTTTTGTAATGGAAAGCATGGAAAAACAAGAAGGTCTTGAAAATTGTGTTGTGGCTGGGTTCAGAGGGGCTGGAGTATTCGGGACCCTCCCTGGGGTATTTCCAGTCTCACAGAACTGACAGGCTTCAAGTGGAGACATCCTGGCCCAAAAGCTCACTTGACCTCTTCAACACACTCAGCAAGAAAACTGGTGCACTCAGCAAGTGACAGCCTCAAGGGTGCCTCTGGGTGAGCTGGCTGAGTGAGGCATGAGTTCTCCACACTGTGCTCCAGGCAAACACGAGTCATTGTCTTCAGACTTGAGGAAATTGGGCGGAGGGGGGGGTGGTTAACAGGGGCTGAAACTGCACCTGTCCCAGTCTTTAGAGGACAGGAGGCGAGAGCCCCAGTAGTGGTTGGTGGGGCAGTTGAAGAACAGCACCCATCACGCAGCAGTCCCTCACCAGCCCCCGGCTACCTGCCTGCTCAGCTGGGGCTGTGTGGACTCCTGTCCTGGGGCCTGCTGGAAGGTGTGCTGCACTCCTGCTGCCTTTGGCTGCTGCACTGGAGGGCAGGAGGCCTATGCTAAGAAAAGGAGAAGAGAAACACAGGCACATAGAAGTACTAAAGGTTTGAAATACACCCTATGAGTGCCACAACAGCCCACGACAGCCAGGAACAAACCGCACCACCCTGCACCTACAGGCTAGGACATACCTCACTTCCCAGGGTGAGGTTTGTCCTAGCAGCTCTGTTCCCTCCAGCCCAATTTATGCAAAACCACCCAAGCAGTTGTCCCAGGAAGGGAGAGTTTGTGAGAAGAATTGTTGGGTGCTGCGATGAAGAAGAGGAATTGCTTCAGCTGCCACTGAAGTACTTGTGGAGAAACAGCGTTAGGCAACCTTTCCAGAGCAGCTGGACAGACAGGATACAATTCACCCAGCCAGGAAAGGAGGATGTCCTGGCTCCCACTCCCTCATCCTTTCCCTTCTCATGCCTCAGCAACCGCCAGTGCCTTCGCTGGCAGACAGTGATTTGGGTCAGTGCACAGTCCATGAACAATTTAATCTTGGAAAACAGTAATTAGTTCCTGGTGGTTGAGCAAGCAGGAATGGATTCCCCTGGAGCCACAACTGCAGTGACACAACTGACAACCTATGGCGTGGGACCTGCAGCTGGGGCAGGAAAGGCGGAACCACGCAGACTGCCTTACAACAATTGCGTAAGCAATCATTAGGGAACCAACCACAGGGCTTTGAGCCAGGAGTACATTGTGCCAAGAACTATGGAAGCATTTGAACACCTTCCTGCTGGGTATTCTGCAAACTATGCTTTGCTTGGTCTCCTCCCAGAAGTGCCTGTGTAACACAGCATCTTCTTCCATGGACATTTCCCATGAATATGCATTTGTGCTACTTAAAACTCTTCAACTTGAATTAGGCAAAACAAGATCAAAGAAATTCATGGGTCTGGTCAGCTCCCTACTATGCTGTCAACTGTAAGGACAGCATGAGGCTTTACATTTAAGTTGATAGATAATACATAGCAGCACCAACCAATGTCTTCCTGATAGAAAGTTGTATTCATGTGGACTAACACACATGTGATTCCATAGTGCAGCCACTGGATGTTGTCATTGCTCCATATGAATGCCACAATCTCTGTATTACTGTCCCATGGGGAAACAAGGTACTCCCAAAACAGAAGGCAGATTCAACATCAGCTACAGCTGTTGATGGAGTACATGCAACTACCATGAGTAATGGAACATCTGAATAGTGAAGAGGGAACAAAGCAAATATTACATTTTCAGAAAATTTAAAGGGTCCATGGTGCATTAAAAAAAAAAAAAAACCAACCAAGGAACCCTGAAATGTATTTATTGCTCCAGAGATTTATAAAAACATAAATAAAAGCACAATGGGCAGCACTGAAAGCAACGCTTGTCACTTATCCCTTTGACAACCATCTGGGAAGTTTCATTTCACTGGAAGAGCTATATTTGTGTTCAACCTTAGGCAAAGTATTTCCCAGATAAGAATGCACAGACCACCTCAAGGGACTTCCTTGGCAGAACTATTAAGATGCTTCTTTGACAACAAATGGGATTATGGAGAGAAGCTTCTGTTAGCCGACACATTTGATATACTTTAAAAAAAAAAACACCAAAAAATTAAGAACCACAGAAAATGAAGGAAAACTAAAGGCTATGCTCTTTTTTGTTTACTTTCTAGATGTCCTTAAATACTGAAGTGCAATTTTTCGCTGGGTTCAATCCTTTCTGACAGCAGGCTACTGCTAGAGGGTGTGACCCCATTCTCACCCTTCCCTTACATCTGATCTACCACTCACATGGGCAGAAGCTGAGCTTGAGATTATTGTTGGGAAGGACAAACTGGAAGAGAAAACAAAATTAATTAGCCTTTCAGTGTCTTGGCAAATGGAACAAATCCATTGTAAAACTGCACAGCCCCTAGACTCTGTGCAAGAGAACTGGGGAAACAGCCTCTAATGGAAGCAACCCCCAGTTAAGTAAATAAAGCGCAACACAGAACTGAGTCAATTTGGCCTGTTTTCAAGTGACAGTTGTCTCTCACAGAGCTATTGCATTTGCTACTTATTTAGGTACTGTTTACCCAAACTGTACCTTCTGACAGGCCAATCCTTTTAAGAGATTCATCTCACAACAAACCAACATGTAAATTTTGAGTTCTTTTGCATCATTCCCACTCTGACAGGTTATTACTTTAGTTTGCAGCAGGACAAGCCTTTCTCCAGCAGCAAAACTAGCTTAAGTGGAGTTTTACCCCCCTTCAGCCCCATGGCTACATCTTTGGTTGTTCCAGTATATCAGATGGCCACCTGTGTGAGAGGACTGATCTGCATAGGAGAAAAACAAAAAGACAATACAAACAGGTACCTTTCTCTCTCCAGCTTATTTTGAATACAGACCAGTTTCCAACAGAATCACAGAATGGTTGGGGTTGGAAGGGACCTCTGGAGATAATCCAGTCCCATACTCCCTGCTACAGCAGGTTGCACAGGATTGCGTCCAGGCAGGTTTTGAATACCTCCAGAGAAGAAGATTCCACAGCCTCTCCGGGGCAGCCTGTTCAAGTGCTTTCACTTGTCATTTCCCTCCCCTACCCCCAATACTCAAACTACTCTTTAGGCCTTCCTAAAAGGTTGTCAAAGGTGAAGCATGACAAACTCAAACTAGCTTTTGTTTTGCTGCTCTGATTGTATCTACCTCAGAGCAGTGCTCCTCCTGTAAAAAAGAACACAAGTACAAACAACATTATTATGTGTATTATGGTAATACTGTAGGCAAGAAAAACAAAACCAACTAGTAAAACTTCATTTCCAGATTCCAGAAAGTCTCATGCCTGTATCATGTCATAATAGCTTGAGTAGACCAGAAGATTTTAAGATTTCAATTGTCATATTGAAGATAATTTCTTTCTCATAGTATTATTTGAATCCTTTTAATATTAGTTAACGAAATAGCTATGAAATGTAGCAGAAAATGTTAATAAGCAAGCAGAATGAAGCGAGTGGCTTACAGTGAGAAGCTCAGCACTGCTAGGTACAACTCCATCATTCCTAAGGGAGGAAAAGACAGCAGAACGCTGAGTTGTTCTCAAGTTTAGGGGAAAGACTTTTATAAGCCCTTCTGTGAATTTTGTTAGTTGTGGGTAGGGGGAATACAGCAAGATCCAGGACAGTAGTGCTGCTTGTTCCGTTTCACATTAAATGGAGTCTTTCAGGATATCTGGCTTGCTTCAGGGCAAGAAAGTCACGAAGTGCTGTGGGGGGAGAATGAAGACTGTGAAACACTTCCTGCTTAGTGCGGGTAAATCTGTCTGGCTGAAAGAGTCTTGCTTTGCAGCAGAATATTTTGTACCTTTCCAAGGCCACGAAATTCCAGGACTAGAATCCACACCACAGTGTGGTTTTAAAGATGCTGGAAGCAGGTTTGGCCTTCATTTTGAAGGAGTTGGGTAGAACAAAGAAGCGTTTCAGAGCAGCCACCAAGCATTTGTGACAGATTTTTTTAGTAACCAAAACGTAATCAAGCTCACAGACTGACACATAATACATAGGTATTTTTAAACAGAAAATAGCATTTAAAATTACAGCGTGCTCAGGTCAGAACTAGTAGGAAAATCACCTTCTCCAGTTAATTTGATGTACACTTATCCTGGACAATGACGACAATAGCAGGAAAAAGGCACCTTTACTTGCTAAGTTTTAACAAGGACAAGTCTGTTTAAGCAAGTGGAGAAATGCCTCTGGGCACCTCCAGATGTTTGTGTATCCTGAGGATTTCAAAGAAATGCAGACTGAGTTCTGAAAAGCATACACTTATCCCCATCTCCTGGGACAGTCTCTCCCTTCTCATATGTTACATGTTTGCCCTCATAAAAATGACAACCTTTCAGCCATCAAGAGGAAGAAAACTGGTAAGAGCAGTCCTGGAGGCATTTGGAAGAACAGCCGACGCTGGAAAGAGCAACCTGGCTCCAATCAAGAGTATGTACTGGGTTTTCTTGCGGACAACAGTAAAAGCACTGGTAGAAGAAAGTCCTAATTACTATGATTACCAGATACCAAAAGAAGGCCAAACAGCTCTGAGAACTTTAGCTTGGTCAGCTATTACAGGAGCACATGTGCCCTTTTCATGAGCAACACCACCACTCAGAGAATACACATGGTAGCAGCACAGGAGAGTAAGCAATGGCCAAATGCCTGCCAGCAAATTCTTCCAGCAGCCAAAGACGTATATAACCAGCATCAATTGCACAATACCTTTTCAAATAATTCACACTGGAGCCAGAGTCACCCTCCAGAGCTACAGAGTAACCAGATGCATTGCACTTGATACTATGCCAATGTATATTATGGAAGAAGCCTCGTGGGAAATGCCCTTCTGACAGGGAGGTAGCAGTGAGCCTGGTTGCAGGAATGCATCAGGTAGGTCTCAGTGCTGCAAAAGTGACCGAAAGCACAGAAGTGCTTTGAACAGTAAAGCAGGAGTTACTCTTCCAATAAAAGAAGACTTGGTTCTGTTGAAGATACCCAGTACTGTCGAAGTACTAGACTTCAAACTCAGCCCTGGAAAGATGTACAGTGTCACAAGAACAGCCAGAGATACCCACTTTTTGGGGCAATACACTGGACTTTCCCTTTGTGACTACCCAACTGCTCTCTCTGCAGCCTACTGCAAATGCAAGCCTACACAATAGACAACTGAAGTGCTACCCCATTCTCCGTTCCTCTTCGAAGCATAATATATTTAAAAACCCTCAAAACATTTTGCCAATAATGTCAGTAGGAAATTAAGCACAAGTTGTTATTTCAAACAAGTTTACCCACATCGTGGATAAAGAATTTTTCTTCATTTAAAAAAACTTTTTCTTGGTATGGCTCTTTCTTCCCACCAGTATTTCCTTTTGCTTTTCGAACTTGTTATGATTCAGTGATAAGATCCATGAATATGAAACAGTCTCAACATGGTCTTCAGCTTGATTTCAGATGTTTGGCTTGAAAACTCCACGATATCCTCTGCAAATACATCCAGATGAGTTCATGAGCTTATTTCAATCACATTTTGAATTAGCAGAAGACATGAATATTGAGAACTTGTCTTTTTTATTTTGACAACAAAAAATGGAGGGTCAGCTAAAGTGGGAGCTTTGCTCTATTTGACTAATCAAATGGATTCCAACTCCCAAGTATAGCAATATACCAACTTTTATCAGTCTCACTCTGCTTTGTTGTGATTATTATTTGACTCCATACATGTTCCTCGTACTTCTCACCTAAATAATCTGTAGAGGCTCCAAGTTCAACAGATAATCAACAAACATAATATATAACACATTCAATCAAGAATACGTACACTTGATAAACTTGTCTTAAAAACTTCTTTATATTCAAATTGATGTTGTTCTTTATAAAGCTATTGTTCCATTGTTCAAAGATTACTCATACTTATTGTAGCTTTGCATTCCAAAGAATTTTGTCTTTGCCAAAACCGTGAAATCAGTTCTCACTTATATGCTTTTCTTCAATTTCCTTAGTTTTATTGCCTAAACTTATTCAGAAGAAAGCATTTGCTGGTGCTTTGATTGCCACCAAATAAAATATACATACAGATAAACCAGTAAAACTCTATTTTTTTTTTTTTTAAGTTGTGAGGATTCAAACACACAGTCAACTATAATATTTGTTCTTTACAAATAGGCAGTCAGATACCACCCCAAATCCAGTTATTTAGTCACAGAAGCAAGCGCTACTCTGGTAGCTGAAGAGCAAGCAGCTGCATTGATTTCTAAATGTGTTAAAGCATCTTTGTAGCTCCTACATATTAAACTACCCAACCAAATGCAATCATACCTGTTCTCTTTGTTGCAGTAATCAGTGGAATCACTTTCACATCTTGTAGTATTTCCTGCCTTGGTCTCCATTTCCTTGGCATTAGAAGAGCCTACCTTATGATTGTATTTGGACAGAATCTACAGGAAACATTAAATGGGATTAAAAAAATTATGTAAGAACTCAAACCAGATGGATTACAGATAGAATTAAGCCCTTATAGTTTTGATATTAGAATTATTTAGGAAAAAAGTATATTAGCTGACCTGTAGAACATCATCTGGTATCCTTGTTATTTCTGGAGGTGGAGGAGTGTTGAGTAACTGGTCATAGTGTTTTATTGTGGGAGGAGAAGGGTCCCCCAGATGTTTAAGATACGCATCAGGGCTCACAGCAAAAGGAATGCTATCTTTGTATTGTTTATCTCTTGCATCACTCTTTGTCACCGACTCAGTCTTTCCCCCTGGCTTTACCTGCTGCTGCAAAAGAGGTATTAAATGCCTTCAGTTAATTTACTTATGTTAGGTGAAGTATTTAGTACATTTCTTACAAAATTACCATTACAAAGAACTTCTACAGTTACATAAGAAAAAATAGTATTGGAAACGAATCCCAAATGAACCTTTTAAAAACTGCTATGGCAAAGTGTGTGAAAATGTACATAGTTGCTATATACTACCTTAGCTTCTGTTTTTAGCCAGCTTGTGTGAAAGTCTGGACACTGTGGTGTTGCTGAATGACTGGGAAGAGGCAGCTCCTTTGTCTCTGGTGACCTTGGTAATACTGTACTATTTGTTTTGGAAGAGACCTTCACGTCAGGAGTACAGAACACAACTACCATAGGAGAAGCCATCCAGTCAGCTGCTGATACTAAGAGTGAGCAAAATATAAATAAAAATACATACAGAAACACACACACACATATATACATATTACCAGTTCCAGCTTAATTTCCAAGTCTAAGCTTTTCATAGATTTGCATATTCTAAAATGCCTGTATCATTTTAGCTGATACTTTTTGTTTGATCCATGCAAAATACCGTATTCCTTAAAATCAGCAAATGCCAGAAAAGGTGATCATTCTAGTCTCACTACTGAATGTAACTGAAAAAGCTCAACTTAAATTGGCATTGCACTGCCTTCTCATGTATACAATTGCCACTGTGTTTGTCCCAAGATTCTCATGGATTTTTAAAAGAACATATTTCTCCTCTCAAAGAAGTTTACTTTTTGTCATTACTCTTGAAAGACCTAAATTACTGTCTCACTAGCCTCTCTCAAAGTGGTTTCTTTCCTGTCTAACCAGTATTCTCAGAAAAAAAAAAAAAGGCTAAGTTAGCAAACCAGTATTTTTATTTCAAAAAAGGATAAGCTGCAGTTACGAAATGATTAATTTCTCTGCATAATTCCAGCTGGATATGAGCAGAAGAACGAGGAAAGATTTATACTGAAGTGAGAAAGTCTCCCACAGAAGCCATCAACATTTCATTTTTTAGACATTAGTGCTCATACAATGACTAGGCCTGAATTAACTACAATTAACCTGAAACACAATCTGAAACTGAATTTTACCATGTGTTTATAATGCATTTACACATGCATCTGCTAAAAAAGTGCATATGTATATTTATTTCACATATTTTTAACTTACCATTCTCAGCTCTCACATTTGATTTTGGCACAGAAGTAACCATGATTTCCCTGGGTGTCATTTCTGGCACATCCCCTCCATTATCCTCTCTTTTAACCAGCCTGAAAATGAAACCCCTCAATTAGCTCTCAAATATTAAGAAGAAGTCACAATTGAAGGAATACTGTCAGCCTGATCACTTTTCTAGTATTCAATCATCAATATGAAAATCAAAAATTAATTTTCTCAAAGATTATTTTTTCATCTGTGATTCTCCTGCAGCAATTTGTAGTATGCAAATATTCAGTCCAGCCACAGACTATCAGATACACTGAGATTTCAGTCCAAGGCATTAGGAAGAAACCAAACCCAAACCAACCAAACAAAAAGATGTCTAGGGTAGGACAAATGCCCCAGATTACCAATTCTGTGTTAGGTGTACAGCCTATTTTATTTTGAATTGCCTGTTACCTACAAAATTCTAAGCAACAAAAAGAAATAGTTTCTGCTTTAAAATAGTACGAGTATTGTGAACACTAAAAGATTTTTAATTCCATTTTTAAGTTTGAATAAGATTACTTATTCTAATCAAATACTGTAGAGCTTTACAGTAATTATAATATTTACATAACTATTTAAAAGGAGAAATCCCAAAATTATTTTAAAAGAAAATGTAGCAACTTCAGAGTGAAAAACCATTTAACATCAATTCCACAACATTGGAAACTGAAATTTTTAAAATTATTTTTTCATATCCAAGATATACTAGCAGAAGAATGACATATGCAGTTAAGAGGCATATTATCAGGCAAAAAGTGGAAGCTTACCTAAACTACATGCAAAAGTGTGTTCATAAGAAAATGATTTTAACTGTTTAAAAAGTTATTTTAGCTAAGAGAACCACATTTCGAGCTTCTCTACAAAATGCCTAAGCTTAAAAAAATTACCCAGCAAACCATTTTGTGTATTTTACTTAGATGAATGTCTCAAATTTTGGCTTTAAAAAAAAGTAACTTTTGAGGTCAGTTTTGTCTTGGAAGTATTATAGATACCTGAAACCATTAGTTTCTACAATGAGAAGGATAAGTAGAATTTTTAAAGTGGTTATCATTAATATGATTCTTGTTTTTTGAATGATTTCTCTAAATATCAAATATTTAGCTACTGTCAGCTTTCAAAATTGAACATGATGCTAATAGTAACTATAAAAATGTGACCTTTACATTACCTCTGAAGTATAGAAAAATAGTTATAGTTAAGATGTTTTATACCTCACTGCTGCAATTTTGTTCTTTATAATTAGAACACTGAAAATCTGGAGATATCTTTTCAAGAGAAGACTGGAGCAAAACCACCAAACTCTTTGTAAGGTGGGGCTTATCAAAGAGACAACACAATGCTTCTACAAGGAGGCATTTTACTGCGTGCTTTACAAGTTGTTTTCTGTGTTTATATTCCTAAAAAGCTTCTGGAACCTTTAAATTGGCAGTGTAATATCTACTGCAGACAACACATCCCCAGAGCCAAACCCATGGGTAAGGAAAGCAGAAGATCACAGATACACTGTGTTTTCCCTTTGTAAATACATTGTGCATGGAAGATTCTTATCGTGGTGCAGTCAAGGGAAGGAGCATATCGGGTGGATTTCATGGTAGCATTTGGCACTGTTGGCACTGCAATGGGTGCATGAAAAGACACGTAGAGAGTTGAATAAAGACACAGGACCAACCAGCTGGTAGGTATCACCCTATCACCTGCTTGAAGAAAAAGAGGAGGGCGATAGCAGAAAGAAATTAGTTCAGCAAATTCAATAGAGAAACAATCTGAACTTCAGTAACGTACTTACTTTTGGATTGCCTGAGCACTTTTATGAATAAGTGACGTCGTATAATCTTCATTCAGGCACATGGTATGTTCACTAATGCCAAAGTGTTCAAGTTTTGGTGTTGCAAACTCATAACCATCCATCTTCAGCTTACATTTTGGTGTTCTGGGCAAATTACGGGGGGTCTGCATTTTCAGTGGAGTCTCATTCTTTGACTTTTGTTGATAAGCATTTGTTGTGTGCTGTGGTTTCACTGCACTCCAAGGCCTGGAGAAAGCATATTGTGAAAGACCGAAATCAGAAAGCTGGGGGCTACGCAGTGGGTTTTGATGCAACACTGGCTTCTCAGTACAAGCAGGAAGATCATTTGCTTTTTCTTCATCAGATTTATTCTGGGCAGACACTGTCGATTCACTGTAAACTTCTTCCTCTTCTTTTTAAGAAAAGAAATGAAAAAAAATTATGTCAGAATTTCTGTTCTAAGAATTTATAAAATAAATTGGGACACCTCCCCAGTATTCAAAATTTTTCATTTATTATTGTAAAAAAATAGATTCCTTCATTTGTTTTAAAGGACTGAACCTGACACTGCAACACATATCAAAACCTCATATAATAAGCTATATTTATAATATAAATCACACATTTACTGAATTTCGCTCTGCTGGTAAATATTATTTCTAAGAAAAATGAAATTGAAAGATTTTTTCACAAGAGTATTTTTCATAGAATTCTCCTCCCTGCATGGAGATGATAATGATTTTGGGGAAAGAGCAAAGGGTGCTCAGTACTAGAATGCTCATTCTTCAGAAAATCAGTATTGAAGAAAGGTTATAAAGCAGCAACTAAAACCTTGTGAAAGAAGAAAGCTTTTGGGTAACAAGAGTCCACTGCAAAAATATGTAAATATGTAACTTGTACATTTTTGGAGTTAGATAAACTGAAACACCCCAAAACATTAATGAATTTCTGCATGATGTAGTAAGTGTAGGACAATGAAGCTGGGAAAGGGCCTGGAGCACAAGCCCTGTGAGGAGTTGCTGAGGGAGCTGGGGTTGTTTAGCCTGGAGAAGAAGAGGCTCAAGGGGACCTTGTCGCTCTCTACAACTCCCTGAAAGGAGGTTGTAGCCAAGTAGGGGTTGGTCTCTTCTCCCAGGCAACAGGTGACAGGATGAGAAGACACAGTCTTATGCTGTGCCAGGGGATGTTTAGGTTGGACATTAGGAAGAATTTCTTCACAGAAAGGGTGATTAGACGTTGGAATGGGCTGCCCAGGGACGTGGTGGAGTCACCATCCCTGAAGGTGTTTAAGAAAAGACTGGACATGGCACTTGGTGCCATGGTCTAGTTGGCATTATGGTATTTGGTCATAAGTTGGACTCAGTGACCTCAGGTCTTTTCCAAGCTAAGTGATTCTGTGATTCTGTGAAGTGGGTAAGGGGAGGGAGGCTATTTGAAGTAATACACCTTTCTGTGTGCATTGATATCATGTATTCAGATGCACTTAGCTTAAAAATACATCTTAAAAAATAAAGTAACCTCATAGCTCTGTTTGGAGATGTATTTAAAGGCAGAGAGAGTACAGGAAAAAAGGTAGTATAACAATCAGAGCCTTCTGCCCTATCTTTGTGAAACACCTGTAGTAGCTTAACTCGGACTGAATATGGTCCATGACCACAATTTTTGTTTTGTAATGATGGGATAATGGTCAGGTATGGGAGACGGCTGGGCTACAGACAGCTTAGGCCTTGAATTTGATCAGTTACAGCTGTGAGCTTGTAAAAGAATGGAAACACCGGGAAGGTGGAAGAGCAGAAAAGGAGGAAGAACTGTAAATAACAGGTTTTGTTTTGAGATTTGCTGGCACGCAGAAGGACACTGACCACCTATCAAAAGATGAGTTGTGGCGCATGAACAGGGACACTTAACCAATGAATTATAGCATGTATACACATGGACAGAAAAAAAGACTATGAAACTAAGCCTGCTGTTAATAAATAAGTTGCCTATTACCTGCCAACCCACGGAGTGAGCATCTTTTTTGTCCGCCGCACTCAGGGAAGGTGAAGGTGTGCCCTGCCGAAGGCTTTTTGAAAGCTGACTGGGCCCTTGGTACTCAAAGAGGTATGTGTTGTGCTGACAGCTGTAGTGGTTTAAACTCATTTGGCACATCTAGATTTTTCAGACAGGTGTGTGTGCATTTTCTGACTGGATTAAGGATCTCCCTCCCCTCCAACGATCAAGCTACTACTGCTTGGTCACATGTCACCTAATCCCTATACATAATTCTCCTGTCCCATCTGTGCTGAAGAACACATTATTTTAAGATTTTTCTCTATTGTGATTTTAGTTAATGGAACCATCACTTCTGAGTGTGAACCAACTGAGGTGCATCTACAATACTTTCTCAAGTGTGAGAAGCTGAAGCAGCATAATGTGTGTTATGAAACCACTCTTGTTAACATGTTTTCTGAATGTAATTATTACTGAAAAAATGAAAACAACCAACACATAAAACCAACATAAAACCATGCCAGGAGACCTAACTCCAAGTGTATGTGTTTTGAATTATTCTCATGGTACCAATCACAACAAAATCTTTTACCCTCTATTGTATGTTATCATAAAGCAAATTATATGGATGTGCTTGATCTCTTAATTAATAGAAATATACACATAGCTAAAGAGAAACATTTTATAAAACTATATTTTTCTTTACATTCTGTATTGCCAAGAAATATTACCTGTAGAGTCTTTGAGAGGTGGTTTGTAGCCATACTTCTGGAACAGCTCTCTTATTTTTCCAAGATCTGCTGCATTTCTTTGCATCAATATTTCACTTGCCTTCATAAACTCATGAACTGCTTGGTTTTCAGAGTAACAATTATCAAAGCTGGCATTAGCATGTTCCTTTGTGGGCAGAGAGGGGAAAGGAAAAATTAGAAATACTGGTTTTCAAATCACCACATGGTAGTTGTTTAGACATGGAGCATTTTGGGAGTAAATATTCAACTGCAATTCAGACGAAGCAGCTAATTTAGGTCTTACCTATACCTGAAAACTATCAGGTATATATACACCTACAGAACATCAGGAATATATAGGCCACGAGTGTATAACAATTTAGAAAAGTTAAATTATGATGATAGTTCACCTTGTGAACAAAAATATATGCTTTTACTCCATAAAAATATGAGATGACAGCAATTAGTTTGGACTCTTACTCCACATGTACAAAGAATTAGTGCAGAGTAGAAGGTAAACATCAAGTTTATGTCCTAGCTTAACCTTCAATTATTTCTATACTTGTTCATTTCTATAACCCATTTTTCCTACTTCTATTTAAGACACAGAAAACATTCTTCACAAGTTTAACTGAATGGCTGAAGGTACTGACACTTCTGTTAAGATTGACTTTATTCTAAGGGCCAGTCACTGAACACAAGCAAGCTTACCTCTTCTGTTGGGAGCTTCTGCTCCTGAATCCTTCTCCTCATTCTTCTCACCTTGGCACAGCCACAACTTCCCTGTTACCTTTGTCCTCTGACAACCTCAGTGACAATAATGGCTGCAAACTAATCAACACTGCTAAACCTACTTCGGGTCACCCACAAGTTTTTGGGCATTACCCTGATATCCACAGCCATTATGAGGACTTAGAGGTAAGTGAGTAAAAAATAAGGGTCATAACTGCTGAATAACAGAATTGTGGTTTAATGATTATAGTTTCCATAAACCATACATTTATGGAAAGCAAACACCCCCACACACACTCCCACAATTTTTCATGAAGGAAATGGATTAAGATGTTACCTTCAGAGTCTTGATTTCACACTGAAGGTCATGCAAGACCCTTGCTGAACATTCACCTTCAGAGTCTTCAATATGCATGTTCACATAAAAGGGTTTGGAAAATAAAAAGTGTGTATTAGTGTTTCAGCATGCAAGTACATTGTACATCAGAATGCAATCTCCTGTATTAGTGGATGAGAGACTGGACATGACCTGTCCATGTGCACTTGCAGCCCAGAAAGGAAACTTGTCCTGGGCTGCATCAAAAGCAGCGTGGCCAGCAGGGCGAGGCAGGGGATTCTGCCCCTCTACTCTGCTCTGGTGAAACTCCATCTCAAGCATTGCATCCAGCTCTGGGGTCCTCAGCACAGGAGGAACATCAACCTGTTGGAGCAAGTCCAGAGGAGGCCACCAAGACATGGAGCATCTCCCCTGTGAGGAAAGGCTGAGAGAATTGGAATTGTTCAGCCTGGAGAAGAGAAGGCTGTGGGGTGGCCTAATGGTGGCCTTCTAGTACCTGAAGGGAGCCTACAAGAAAGATGGAGAGAGACTATTTACAAGGGTGTGTAGTGACAGGACAAGGGGGAACAGATTCAAACTAAGAGAGGGCAGGTTTAGATCACACATTATAGGAGGAACTTCTTTGCTGTGAGGGTAGTGGGGCACTGGAACAGGTTGCCCAGAGAAGCTGTGTAGGCCCCATCTCCGGAGGTGTTCAAGGCCAAGCTGGATGGGGCTCTGATCAACCTGGCCTAGTAGAACGTGACCCTGTCCCATGGCAGGGGGGTTGGAAATAGATGATCTTTGAGGTCCCTCCCAATCCAAACCATTCTACTAGAGAAGTTGGAGTTGCGTGTTAGAGAAAGAGAGTCGAGATAGAGAAAACCGAAGAGAACTAATTCTTATTGGTACCTTGCACAGTAAGAGACTGCTCTTTGTACAGTGTGTTAAACTCCACAGAGAAACTGTCCAGGTTTCCATTTTAATGTTGCAGCTAATACTATAGAAATTAATGTATGTCAGATGTTAATAATATAGGTAGGTCCCTGGGCTGCAAAGAATTATTTAAGGTAAAATTTTATCCTTAAAGAGCTCGAATGAAATTGAAAAAAAAACAATACAGCCACCACTGAAAAACACGTATCAACAGAAGGCTGAATTCTTGCACTCTATTTGCATACGGCAGACGCATTGTTCACTTCCACAACACAGCAGTCATCGCTTCTTTCACTGGAAACCAAGGCTAATGCAAACAGTGTAAAAGAGGACACCTGCTACGTGCCAAGACAAAGTACAGTGATGTACACAATGGGATGCCTGAGCTATCTGTGCAGAGAGAGCACATGCCCTGCAAATGTTTTCCTACACCAATCCACGAAAAGAAGGACAAGAACGCAATTCCCATTTTGTACTGTTCATCCTGTTTTTTTCTGTGACAAAAACCTCACCCGTGCCTAGTTTTGGCTAGGGTAGACTTAATTTTCTTCGCAGTGGTTGGTGTGGGGCTGTTTTGGACTTGTGCTGAGCACAGAGTTGATAATACAGAGATGCTTTTGTTATGGTTGAGCAGGGCTTGCACAGAGCCAAGGCCTCTTCTGCTTTTCCTACTGCCATGCTGGTGAGGAAGCTGGGGATGTATGGGGAGGTTGGGAGGAGACACAACCGGGACAGGTGACCCCAGCTGACCAAAGGGACATTCCAGACCGTAGGACATCATACTCGGTATGTAAAGCCGGGGGAAGGAGGAGGACCGGGGGGACGTTCGCTGTGATGGTGTTTGTTTTCCCAAGTCAGCGTTGCGGGTGATGGGCCCTGCTTTCCTGGAGATGGCTGAGCACCTGCCTTACCGTGGGGAGCAGGGAATCAATTCCTTGCTTTGTTCTGTGTGTGCGGCTTTCCAACCCCCCTTGCCCCTATTAAACCGTCTTTATCTCAACCCACGAATTTTCTGGCTTTTACCCCTCCGATTCTGTCCCCAGTCCAGCTGGTGGGGGAGGGAGCGAGCGGCTGTGCGGGCTTTGGTTGCTGGCTGGAGCTAAACCACGACAGCAGCCGCGACGGAGCACAGAGACACATCAACACGGGTAGGAGCCCAAACAATTCCCTCCCGAGCTACTCCCAGGCTCATCCCCGCACCGACCAGCCCACCAGAGGAGCACAGGGGCACAGTGGCAGGCGGGAACGCGAGTCGAGGGAGGAATCCCCTGCAGAGCCACCGGTCCCAGGAGTGCCGTCCGTCACCGCGGGCTGCACTTACCCGAGTCCTCACTGCGCAGGGCCTGCTCCAGCTGCTTCACCTCCTTCTCCAGCGTGAGGCCCAGGCCCTGTAGCTTGCTGAAGAAGGCCCTGGACACGTCCATGGCCGGGGCGCTCCGGCAGGGCCGGGCCGGGCCGGGGCCGTCCCTCAGGGAGCCGGGACGGGACGGGCCGCGCGCGCCGCGGAGAAGCTTCGAATTGCCGCCAGCGCGCGCCCCATTGGCGCGGCCCGGCCCCGCCCCCCGCGAGAGCCTCGCGAGAGCCGCGCCCCGCCCACCGCTCGCCCGCCCGCCCGCCCGCCCGCCATCTTGGGTCCCGCCGCGGGGCCGGAGCTGCTGGAGCTTTCCGGCCCTTCCCGGAGATTCCCGGTGAGTGAGGGGCGGGCTGGGAACAGGGCCCGGGGCAGCGCTGCCCCCGCGGAGCACCGCGGCTTCGCTTCTTAGTCGGGTCACGTCCGCACCGCGGGAGCTGCGTGGTGTGGCTTCTTTCTGCTGGGTTGTGCCGTGTAAAGTGCTTGTCGGACTTGCTCGGTCACAGCACCAAGGCTGACGGAGTCCAGGAAGCGTTTGGATAACGCTCTCGGGCACATGGTGTGATTGTTGGGGATGTCCTGTGCAGGGCGAAGAGCTGGATTCAATGATCGTTGTGGGTCCCTTCCAGCTCAGAATATTCTGTGATACGAGTTGATGGAGTACAGTTTAATAAGAGGCCTGTTTAGGACTGATACACAGGTTATTAAAGAGCACGTGTGTAAAGTCGAAATGTAACTCGGCCTCTCTTGCCCCTGTGCACCCTCTATATGGTGTCAGTCTTAGTGCTTTCCACGTTCGCCAGTCGGTCTAATGCAGGATGTTCTTTTTCTCTACTGGCCAGATTTCCCCCACTCAGAATTCAAGACTAGGTAATTGCACACTGTTAAGTTTACGGAGAGACTGTGGTTCAGCAGCTGATACCGAGGAAAGGTCAGGTTTGGATCTAGAGGACAGACCATTAGCTATTAGAGGAGGGCATGAATGAAGGGACCCCCTTCTTCTGGAGTACCCCGGGGTTGGATTTCTCTTAATGTGTGGGAGGTGCTTTAATTGCCGTGTAAGGGTAACTGAATAAATTCTTAAGATACATAAATTTTTCAGGTTTCCCTTTTCTAATATTAAATTTCCAGCATGTCTGGCATTGTTCTGCCTGCTGTGCGTGATGGTTGTTTTAGGTTCTGAACTTGAACCTTCAAACCAGCTAAAAGGCAGTGGAGAGCATTCAGAGCTTTTAATTTTTCTTGTCAAAGTTTTATTTTTGTCTCTAAGGTAACAAGCATTTTATGTTTCTCTTTACATTTTGAGGCACGATGTTTTTAACAACAGTATTGCTCCGAAAGAGAATTCCTGGACACCAGTGGATTGGGAAGTACAGGCGACCAAGAAAGGTTACCCTTACGATGATGCAAGCAATGGTCCGAAGACTGGAAGTTGAAGCAGAGAATGAATATTGGCTGAGCCGCCCTTACCTGACCCGGGAGCAGGAGTACAAGCATAACACAGAACAGAGGCGTGCCAGGTGGGAAGCTTTCAAACGCCTGAAACAAGCCAAGTTTCCTGAGCACAGATACATCAGTGATCATTTAAACCACTTAAATGTGACAAAACAGTGGACATGCTGAATAATACAGCATATTTATATTTGGCATGTGTCATGCACTGCCGTGGGATCTGCCATTGTACCAGTTATGGTAGTTTTGTAATTCAGGGTAATTAGCGTGGATGAGAAGTAAGACTCTGCTATTGTGTATGGAATGTTACATTAAAAGTAGTCCTGTGGAACACTGTATGTTTTGTTTTAATTGTTTTCTTAGAAAAGGGCAGTTCTTTGTGTGACTCTCTACCACCTGCCAGCCCTCTGTTCTTCAGGGCTCAAAACGGCGCGTTACTAGATGCAGTGGTAATGATTTATACATAACCTAGATTTATAGCTTCACTGATTTCCTTCTAAAAGCCTGGAGAACACACCCGCTGTGTTGAAAGGGATTCTCTGCTGGCACTGGCCAGATAATTCTTGCTGGTAGCTTTTCCTTCTGAAAGGGATTCTTCTGTGTACACCAGTGCTTGAGACACGACTGACGGCACTTGCCATCAGGCATGCAAGGACCAAGGTGAACTAGAGTTACAGAGATGGGGTATGAGGCTGGAACACAAGGAATATTATAGAATTTTCAATTTTTTAAACACTTTCTGGAAAGAACTGTTTTAATTTAAATGCCAGTGTCACTGTCATGTCAGTGCCAACTTGAGTGTTGCTGCCCTTTTACACAGATTGTTTCTGATCAAAAAGGAACGTGGCTGATTCCTGTTTGAGTGACTGACTTCTAAGTCAGGCTTAGTGTCCTGAAGGAATATAGTTAGCCACAAGTCAGGTCTTTTATTTCCCCTCAAGACCCAGTGACCTGGAAGATGTGTCAAGAAGTGTAATCTTAGGTTTGTTGCAGCTGGAGTGTAAAAACTGGAGCAGTTACACAGTGTTTCCCAGGGAGGCAATTTTTCTCACTAATCTAATACACACATGCTACAGCTGAGCAATTTTCAGATTCTTTCACATACTTTTATTAAGTTGATGTAGCATTCACCGATGAATTCAAGTGTCAAGTCCATTCATATCACTTTGGAAAAGAGGCTTGAATTGGTAATTTTTTATTTAAACATGAACTGTACTTCAGAGAAGTATGAACAGGTCTGAACACTGATGTACAAAATCTTGAATGCACTTCCATTGGTTATAAATGGCTTAAGAGAACTTCTATGGAAAAGTATACATACGGGGAAATTGCAAATACAATTAAAACATGAAGGAACTTCCAGGCAGAGCAATGTGATTTTGTATTTAATTCCTTTAAAAAAGCCCATTTAAAAAGTTACTTCAAGTATTAAACTATAAATGGCAACATTTTCTCTGTGCATAGGACTAGTCCTATCTGTAACATACAAAAAAATACAGTAAGTGCGTATTTATTACATGTCTCTTCTACACATCACCCCAAACTTAAATACAACTCATTACAAGTTTAGGCAGCACAATTAAAAATAACCGTGTGGAAGTAGAACAGCTGGGACGTTGTGATTAGTGCAAATGCTGATGACCCTTGCTGGCAAACACAAAAGCAATTGCAGAGATAACCCAGGGATGTTTTATTCATCTTAAGTTCAAAAGGGGGCAGACTTTACAGCAGGAATGCTGCCTCTTTCTGGAATAGCTTTATGATTGTAAACTGTAATTCGGAAAGATTTAGGTTTCCCACGATAAAGCTGGTAACAACGGGCTTAGGGACAGGAGAAATCAGAGAGGATCACACTAAGCGCGTAGTGGTCAGCTAAGCAATGTAAACGTAAGGGAATCTGCACGTCACCATGAGTGCTTTGGTAACAATAAATGCGATCCAAGTACTTCATCCCTGACACATCTGCTTGACTGCTCAGCATGAGCTCTCTGTTTCTTGGGGCAGGGTCTGGGAATAAAGATGGGGAAACCCTCCTAAACCAAAGAAAGCCATCCTGTAAACATTATCGGACTTCACTACCTAATGGAAACAAGATTCAAGTAATTGCTGCAGAAAACAAACACCAGTTTTAATCAGCATTAAAACAAATTACAACTTCATAATGTTTTATGACAGTTATGTAATTAAGAAAAATGTGTATAAAAAGCTATATATACAAAATAAATTGATAGAAATGAGTGTAGTAAATGTGTTCAGTATTAAATCACTTGATGTGCAGCTGCTCTCTTTGGTGCCATTTAGGGATAGAAGAGCCTCTAGCATTGCATACCTTGCTGTCTTTTAGGTCCTTGATGTGCTCTGCATTCAAGCAGCTGCTGTTTGCAGCCTCTCTAAATGCAGATCCAAATCCCCCTGCTAGATTCCATTTTAGAGGGTGTCCTCAGAGAACATACATTATGAAGCTCAAAGTTGTCATTGTTTTGTGTTATTTCTTTTATTTTTAAATTTTCAATAAACCTGGTCAGTCAGTGCTCCAGATCCAGGCAGCTCTGGTCAATCCAAGTCAGACTCAACACATTTCTTGGTAAATCTGCCAGACACAAATGCTGCGTGCAAACGCTGCTGTTTCCCTCCCCTTGGGGCTCTGCTTAGCTACAACTGGACCTTACTTCAGAGAGATCGTGAAGGTCTTTGCGTGCATACCGAATGGTACTGAAATTAATCAAAACCTCCCAACCCAAAAGATGATTTATAATTAATACTGAAGAGCCACACGAAGGAAAAAACAGTACCTGAAAACGGACTGGTTTCTAAGAATAGCACACCGAAAGTAGTTTGGTACCTGCAAATTCCACACTCAAGGGGCAGCTTTAACCATCAAACACGTTACTGTAATTTCTATTCAGATCACTAAAAAGAGTAGTGCCCAAATTCCTCCTAAAATAACCATCTGAGTATTTAAAATGGAGGTTTATAATCAAAGCTTGTCACACATCCGACTTATGTCACTGCAGTCTCAGAATAACACTGAAGGAAGTCAGTTATGACACATGCCTACTCCTTTGCCTGCCCTCCTCCCATAATACGGCTTTGGTAGGTGCAGCAGTGATTTTTATGTTGTACACTCTGCAAATTAATAAAAGTAAGAAAAAACCCCAGTATTAGCTGTGCAGTTTTAAGTAATTTCCATTTATGGATTTCCCCTCATCTTCACAGGGACAGGTTTATCTTAAAACATTTCAGAATTCTGGAAGGGAAATCACACTGAAATCTTGCCCTGTGTTAGACTTTTGTCCTCACACTGAGGATTTAATGCCATTTTTTGTCTCTTTGAGTGTATGTTGACTTTTTTAAAAGAGAAAAGCATTAAGAAATACAAAAGCAGTTTCTAATTGCAGCCAATATCAACTACGCTACAGAAACTACTATATATGGCTTGCAATAGTAATTATTTTGATGGACCTAAAAGCTTAAGGGCTGCTGTTTTTAGTGACAATCTAGGTATTTTCAAGACTCCGTGATACCAGAGTAGGTTAAAGCACAAAACAGCATGTGCCACCAGAGTAGGTTAAAGCACAAAACAGCATGTGCCACATGGCCCAACACCCTGAACAATTGCTTTCTAAGGATCCATCTCCCTTCCAGTCTCCTGAACATGTAGAGTTGTCCTCACTGCATTTCACTGGAAGTTTCCAGCTCTTCAGTGCTCAGGCCAAAAGTACCTATTTGCTGTTGCTGCAGAGCCCTGGCTGCTTGCAACCCCACAGCTGAACAGCTGTCCTGCTCCCTCATTCTGCCTGTCTGACACAGCACAGGCTAGGGAGCTGTCAGGACACAAGTCTAAGACAGAAGATATCATCCTGCTGCCTCGGACAAGGTATCTCCTCCAAGGCCCAGGCCTGCCAGGAAAACCTAACCCTTCCATCCCACTCACTGGAGTGCCCTTAGAGTTCATCAATACAATTACCTTAGAGAACTTAAAACCTTTATATTAGCCTGGGGTTTCTTAGTCACCAGTTGCCCAAGGGGAAAATAAAAGGGGAGGGGGCTTGGAGTGGTGAATTTGGAAGAATCATATTTGAATAATTTTACTACATTTCATATTTGTCAAAGTGACTTTTAGTAATACCTACTTTTACATCAACAGTAACTCCAGCCTCAGCAGTATCCTAAAGCCCACTACTCTCCTCCTTTTATCACCTCAAATATGAAAAAAATCTAGGACAAAATATTCCTGACTTAAAAAAAATCAACCAAGTTATACTGATATTAGCCTACAGTATATATACATTCATATGGGGGTATATCAAGCTCTTTGGGAAGTGGGTGGGGGGGAGCAGAGACGATATTGCTGAATCAGTAATACTTATGAGACATATATTTTGATTACAGTTCTGCTAGATGATGTCTGTGCATGGATGTGTTATTTCAGCTATAATACACTGATGCAGTAAAAGCCAAATGATATCCCAGGCCCTCCATTGCAGTTCCACCAGTTTTTGGGGCTGTGAATTTTGGTATTCAGAACAAGCTATCTGAAAGTGTAGTCTTCTCTCTCTGTATCTGTCCCATGAAATTTTGCTGGTTCAGTACTGCTGAGAGCTTATATTCAGATGAGCACATCTCACTTAACATTTGAGAAGAAAAAGGTAAACCTTTCAGTTTAATGTGTAGCAAATGTTTTTGAAAGTTTTGAAATAAGCAAATGCAAAATTTCTTGTACAAATTTGAAGAAACATTATGCAACTTTTATAAAACATGCAAGTTTGGACCACTACTTCTGCCTCAAGAACATTCAACGGTGACCAAATCATGTTCATAGATTCTGAAAGAGTTCTTGTTCCAGAAGATGAATATTTAAGAAAAGTTTATTATTTTCAAAGACAAAAAAATACTTATTTTAAACCTCAGAGTATACTCGATACCTTAGTATTTCCATCATAAACATATTTAACTGACGTAGCAATCAGTCTGGGAGACAAAACGAAGAGGTTCTTTTGGACTAGATCATCAACTCGACTACTACCTGCAGTCTGTATCAAAAGGGCTCATGTATTATTTGTAATCAGCATCAGCTGAACATCAGAAAAGTTACAGACAGAAAAATAGTATTTGTCACTTTTCTAAGTGCAAAATTCCAATACCCCTCAAAGATGAGTTAGCAGTCTTCTCTATAGAGGAGTGAGGAAATAAACCCCCTCCATGTTGTTTGCTGTAGGTCTTGAGCTATGAATGGACTTGATTTCATACACAGGAAATACATTTTGCCTTTTGTGAACAGGTACATCACCGCATAAAGCACTCAGTCTTTAGCAATTCCAGCATCACTTAAACTGGACTTGAAAGTGGGAGACTACAGGATGCAATTTTTCAGTGTGCTAACACAGATGTATGATTCAAAACTGATTTTCTTGTAAGTACCTGATATTAGTTTAAATGGTACTTTAGAACCAATAAAACCTTGTGCCTTTATTAAAAAGATAAAAGTATAAAACAGTATTTATAAACCATCAAGAGACCCATGGAAAAAGCAGCACTCTTCTGGTTCCATTTTATAACATCACACAACTACAATAAGGTTTTTCTCAGGGGTACTTTACCATTTTGTTGCTGCCTCACAGGAAACACTGCAAACAGTAACAGAAAATGTAACAATTATTAATTCCTTTTTGGATCGGTGTCTCTTGGTATGCTGACAGACAGATGTTGGAAAGAAATATTCCATGTTTTTTCAACTAAAAACCAAATTTTCTTCTTTGAGCTCTGCTCTTGATATGGTTAAATAAATCAAGTTAAAATGATGGGGAGGCTCAACCCTATAGCAAAAAAGCAACACCCAAGTTAAAGGCTTTTATGCTGTTGGCATTGCCTTACTCCAAAGCACAGCTAGTAGAAGGAACCCTCATTCCTGAAAGACTTGGAGAGCTATGATCATGGTGTAGACTGGTTAACAGGAAGTGGGAAGAAGACATCATCCAGTCCCTTCCCCATCACCTGGCATCTGAACGATGCATACTCACACTTCAGACTCGCCAGCCATGCTTTATGCCGATTCTTCTTCTCTTGGTTTGTTTTTTTTTTTTTTTCCTTTCTTTTCCTCTTTTCTTTCCTTCTCTACTCTGGAGACCTGCTATGGAAGTGACTTCTGCAGTGCCTAAGGTATGAAGTTTGCCCGTGAGGAGGAAGGAGTCTCTGCAATCTACCCCCACCACTGCAGCATAACAGAAATGCATAGTTCCCACTCTGGACCTTGTGCATCCAAGCAGGGCACTTCAGGATCTGGCCCTTTGGTTGCAGTATATAATTCAGTGTTGCATAAATGCACATTTAGAATCTTAAGGCATCTGTCTTAACTTCCCTGCTCTGCAATAGTGCTTACAAGAATCCATTGTACTGTGCAGAAACTTGAATTTCTTGTCTCTTCCTAAAATGTTCATGTTCCATTTTTCCAGCTCAACTTCTTCCAAACAAAATTAAGTAATATTCAAGCTCAAAATGTGTTGCAGAAACCTAGTGAAACAAAAGAAGGTAATAAATAGAATTATTCCATTAGTTTTGAAAAAAACCAGATCGTAGTGTATTACATGAATGCAGCTGGGTAACGTGATTTACAGACTACTTCTGTTCGAGGACAGCAGTTACGGTAATTAGCGTTCTGGGAGGTGTGGGTTTGTTTTGTTTCTGTTTTAAACCTCTTATGTTTTAGAAGATTATCTGCCCTAAGAACATCAATCCATCACCACTGACCTATGGGTCAAGTCCCTTGGAACCCTGATTAACAATTTAATTTTTGAATTAAATTGATAGATAGGAGGACACAAATGGTATCTGCCTAGGCGAGACTGGGGAACTGGCCTTCTTGTGCAAATCAAGCTCTTTTCACTAGAATAGTCTGGGCATTTTACTTGTCAGCCATGACTTTGCTTCTGCTGCATGTTATAGGCCTAAAATTGAAAAATACAACTCTTAGTTTGTTACAGTGTATACAAAAGCGCGTAGAACAGTTGGATCTCACAGCTACTGCATAGTTGCCTACAACAGCAGGGACTGGAATTAACTACCTCCGCCTACAGAAACTGTGATCAAATCCAACTGAACTCTGAACGTTGTGCTACTGAGTTAGTCTGAGGTAAGACATACCCAAAATGCTCTGCATTGGGTACAGTTAGGCACTATTTATCTATGCAAATTTTAAAACTACTGCAGTTTAGGCCCGTGCGACAGTGTACAAATTCTTCCCTCTTAAATGTGGTGTGACTTGAGGAAGAGACGGAGGATAGAAAGGAAATTCATCTCAAACTATTACCAGTTAATTGTCTAGCTTAAGCCAGTCATTTATGCTCCCTCTCTAGGTCAATGGAAAGAAAGATTTAGACCTTTCTAAAATACCCTATATCAAAGGCTACTGGGATGAGCTGCTCTCAGAAGACATCCATTCCTTTCTATGAAGAACAGAAAAGCCTTAGTAACCTATTTAGATCAGATTAGGTTTTATATAGCTTCAGGCTGAAAGGAATCCCTTGCTTGGGACATTGTTTTGCAGATTTATATAGTATTAAGAAAAGGTGCAAAGGGGAAACTTACCACTGGTGAGTTCTCATGGTTGAATAGTTTTTCAGAAGTACCACTAACTAGTCTGATTTTGGTTTTGTATGAGTTTACACTGAGCAGTCTGACCAATATTGCAAATATCACACCATCACCCACAAAGACTTTCAGAGATATTTTTTTCTTTGAAAACAAACCAAACCCCTCCCAAAAATAATTCTAGGTCAGAAGGCTCATTAAAAAATAAAAAAAAAAAGAAAGGGAAAAAAATGATCCTAAAATTACTGACCTCACCAAACTTAAATGTAGCGCTTTCTTTCCAATGAAAATGGGAATTACTTGCAAGAACATCCCCCAACCCTCCCAAAAATATAACCAAAAAAAAAAAAAAAAAAGGCAGGGAGTAACGATTTCTCTTCCAGAGAGATTTCTCTTCCAGAGAGAAAAAATTAGTTGGAGCTTATAAGCTCACCACAGTGCAAAGTCAACATAAAAGAAGTCTAATTTAGTCACTGGAAATACACTAAGGGAAGTTTCCATATGCACCAGCACTTGCTGTATTTCCTAAATGCAAAGTGGGTGCAGCGCACTTTATTGTAAAAACATTACAGAAGATCACTGTCAATTCCAAACATGATGGAGCAGTCTGTAAGCAGACACCTGTATTCACTTACTTGTTCCTTCCTTGTGCACACACAGCCTCCTAAAGTATAAGAGCAGAGCATGGCCCACCAATATACGATTAAGAAAAAGACAGTTAAGGAGCTGTTCCCTAAGAACAGCTCTTCCTCAAGACAGCACTTCATCTTGAAACAGCATTAACATCAGATTCTTTTCCCTGGTCAGCTAACAAATCCAGCACTACGCAATCTAAATTAAAGGATTAGTCTGACTCATCCCAGACCTAGCCAGCCCATGTTTCCTGCACTACAGCATTACTCCCATTCTTGTCTTCTGAAGAGCCATTCTGAGTTTTATTTAGACTTTTCTATTACTCATCCAACATCAGAGGACTCCTCCACATTCCATGACTAGCTGATTTTTGACTTCGAGATGTCTATTTTTATTTATACATATACAGAAACAACAATCAATTATGTTAGTCTTACCTGTTTCTCATTGAGATGGTAGGTTAGTAATAAGCTGAGATCAGCTTTCCAATGAAACTATAATATGCTTTTTTGCACCTAGAATGTGAGAGAATCTCAATTATGTGTTTTCACACATTTGCATAACAAATAGCAAAGATTTCAAACCAGAAAGCACATCTACTATATCGTGCCTATTTTACGAAAAAATTATCCTCCCCCTAATCAAACGTAAAAGATCCCAAATCTCAGAACTGAAGTGCAAAGGTGAGAATTATCTATCCATCTATCTATCTACTTAATGTAATAACTAAGTTTAGAGCAGAGTATGGGATGCAAGTTAGTAATAACTTCTAAACATGCTGACTTTATTCTATGAAACAACTTTTCTTCTAAATACTCCAGCCAATTCCTAGGGACTACCTAGGCCTAAAAAATAAAAAAGAAAAAAGGAAAACTCCACCACAAACAAAACCACAGAATCATCCTGAGTGTTTACAGTTCAGGCTACCTGATTTCACATTCTCCTCTTCAGGACCACTTTCCACCCACTGACAATCACCAGCTAGCAATCGGTTTTGTGATTCACTGAGTGGTCGAGTAGGAAAGGACTGACTGGCTCCAGAGCTGAAAAGTAAGCAAAATCAACAGGAATTCTGTAATACCAGTAGTTGCTTATTTCAGACACTTCTAGAGTACTGAAGTTACTTAACAGCAAAGCCAACAAACAAAGAAAACCCCTACAGTGCCAACTGAAAACAGCCCCCTTTCCCCAACCCTAATTCCCCTCTAGCCTTGCTCCAGTCATCAGTTGAAACCCTTACCTCACATAAGCCACTCAAAATTCTAATGGAAAAAAAGCACAGTTTGATACACAAGAAATGGCACACTGACAACAGTGCTGCTGCCACACAGTTAAAAAGAAAACCTAACCAGTATCATTTGGGAGAACAGCCAAATGCCACCTTATCCCAAATAAATGGCCAGGCCTTCTTCTGAACAATCTTATGAGTGCAAAAGGATAATGTGCTGTTTGCACAAGGGTCGTTTCCTTGTGTAAATTCCACAGGTTAGGTTGCACTGGAAGCAACTTCTTCTCAGCATTGCATTTGAACCCTCTAATGTCTGGTAAGTCAGGTGATTGCTGTTGACAACAATCTTCAGCTACAAATTCACCAAACTATACAGAAGACTTCTAAAATGGCAAATGTAAACACCCCCACAAGTTGCACGTACTCCTGTCTCTCTGAATCTAAAGTGGGCTTCCTGAAAATACACTGAAGATACTATTACTGTTTCCTTAGAGCCATATCCTCTATTACAGCAAAGCCAAGAAACTGTCAATTTCTTAGTATTAGTCCATTCTGTCCTTCTGTGAAGTACCTTACTCTGAAGATGACAATAAGTGTAAAGAATTAAAAAACTTGGAAACCATTTTTTTCTCCAGGTGAAGTACAAAACTACAAAATCAGCACCTTAAATGCTATAGTTACCTTTTGGCAGGTTCATTTTGGCTTGAGACAGTAAGTTGCTCTGGATCCATAATCACCAAACGAGTTGGAAAATTGCACCCATCACCCAAACTAAATGAGAAAAAAAAGGCTCAAATCACTGTTTGTAGTTGACTTCAATGAACTGAACAAAGACCCAGGCAAAAGGCAAACACTACAGACTTGAATCGATTACCTGAGTGCAGTGCCGAACGTCAGACTTGAAGCAACGCAGTTCTACCACTAAACCAGATGATCAGTTAATTGAATCTTGGAGCTCAATCGATTCCCACCCTATTATACAGTATGGATTGCTGAGCACAGGACTAGTCTATGTATTTCAGAACCCTGAATGTATTCCTGTAGACTGTAGCCCCAGTCTTCCCCCAAACCAGCGTGCACACACGGTGAGACTCTCTTGTATTTACAACCCCTGAAACTGTATCATAAATAACATTTTGGTGGCCATACTTTCCCTTCCAACCGTAATTCTGAAGTTAGCTAAGCCTTCTTTGAAAGCAAGTTTATCAGGATAAAATGTGGTAGCAAAGCAGACTGACCCATCTGCAGCATTGCTTCTGCCTTTAATCACATGGCAGCTGAGCAAACAGCTGCGGCAACTTTTACCTCTGCTGTTTGCTACCAGACCTCAGCTTCACAAATAGGTTCACCAACACTTTACACTGATACACAGCCCCACAAAAGTAGTGTTGGAACACACCTCCTACTTTGTTCTGCTGAATTCCGGTGGTGGTGGGAGTGCTGAGCAGGTCAGTCGTGCTTTATCAAGACTGTCTGCAACTCCCCAGCACTGGCTCAGCTGTGTTTTAGAACCAGCATTTTTCATCATATCAGATTTTTTTTTTTGCTCTGAACTTTTTTAGATGGCTTTTGATACTGAAAGTGTCGAAAGGAAAAGGAAAGATGGCAGCAAGAGGAAAGCTGCCAAGTGTTTTCAGAGGCAAGAGGGGGTGTTTTTAAATTGATGTTGTTTTGATGCAGCTGAAGTTCAAGCATTTCTATCTCCTCCAAATTGCGGATTTATGCTCTGTAATTAGACACAAATACTAGCACTGAAAGGTGTACAATTTTTGCAATACAATTCTCAAAGCTTTCCTAACTTCTGTATTTAAAAGGTCCTTGTCAACAAGAAGCTCCTTGTCTTGGACTGAAAACCCTGTGCAGAGTTTGACAGTTTTCTCCTGCACATTTTCCCTACGCTAGTATTCATTTGTACAGGACTTACAAGTTAGTTTTTCAGTTGTACTTTATTTTTCAGGAGAAGAGGAAGTAAGGTGAAAGTTGTGGAATCAATTTATTCCCCTAGTCATTCCTATTCAGACTGAATACCTGGTAAAGATAGGGAGTAGCCAATACTTCTTTTCGTCTCCAAAAACTTCCTTCAGATTTTTGCTGCATCCAAGAGAAAACCCATTTTTATCAGGGCCATTTCGAAATGTGGGTGCACGGAATGTTTCTGTAAAAGAAAAACATGGAATCTCTCTAAACTGGTAAGGAGTAAGAGAACATGAATACACAAACTTCTCTACTGTGAAAACATTGTTGGACAACCTGAGACAATCTTGATGTGTTTTATGGAGGGAGGGGAAAGAGAAAAGTAATCTCAAGTAATGAGAGAGAAAAAAAAAATCACAGGTTAGTGTCAAAAATAGAAATGAAAAGTAAGAAAATCAAGTAAGCAGAACAGACACCTTGTCAATTTTCTCTCTTTACATTTAACATAAGGTCTGAACAAAGCTAAGTCCCATCAGCATGCAAAAGACAGCATATCCCTCGTTCCTCGGTGACTAGCTCTCTCTTCAGCCTGCGAAGCCTTCTTTGAGCAGAAGACTTTCCCTTTTAGAATTTACCATAAGCACTGCTGGACCTAAGCCGATGCAGAAGAGATTTTTCCACTTCTGCCATGGTGTGAAGTTGAATTAAGAGCATCCTGTGCTAAGAGAGAAAGATGAAATCTACTTCATTAGAAACAGACACATCACAAACCACACCAAACCACCACTACTTTTCTACCCAGTCCTTGGCCAAGAACTGAGAGCGCTCACTGCTCTCCCCATACCAGTAGCCTGCCTTTTTACAATCACAATCCAAAAAGTGAAGTACTGTGTTGCCAATTATGACCACTGACTTTGGGAAAGGAATATGCTGAAGTTTTCTTCATAGCTAAAAAAGAAACTGTGAATATTCCTTACCTGTAGATATATAAAAAGAAAACAAACTCAAGTCTCCTGTCATGAAATTCCTTTTTTCTCCAATTTTTTCCAAATTCCTTTTTTCTCCACCAAAAAATTCTAGCAAGCTGAAAATTATTTCACTTTTAATCAACCCAGTTATTTTTGAAGTTAGAAATTTAAACTCCACTGAAAGATATAAGACTTTGACCTATTCAGTTGTGGAAATACCCATCAGTCCCTGTCCCACCACACCCTGCAAAAAGCCCTTCCAAGTTTTTCCTAGCAAGAACTTCAGATATTTTAACTAATGCACATAACTTGGTTACAATGACCAATGCCATTCAAAACATTTAGGCATAGAAATTATGGGAATCTCTTCTGTTATTTAGGAGATGTGCATCGGTGCACATCAATGCACATTTTTATCACTGCTTTTAGAAGCCGCTTCCTAATAATGAGGTTCATATTCTTTCACAGGATTTAAGAATACTCTTTTGGATCTAAGTTCAAAATGTTGTACATATTCATATTAGAGCCTTTGACTTGGCCGGAGCCATCCAGTTACTTAAAGAGAGTGGCAAATAGCAACTGGGTTACATACTTCACACGATATAAAAACCCAATAAAAATGCACAGTGCCTCAGAGGTCTCAAAAATATAAACACAGAAAATGAACAGTCATGAATCCAAATGCTTCACTCCAGCAGAGGACCCCTTCACAGGCTTCATTTCCCTGTATGTTTCACCTTTAATTACTTCCACCAAATATGCTTCTTATTGCCCAGTATTTAAATTTTTGGTTTATATTTGATGGCATATCACGTAGGCATCAATATTCTCATCGAACTGTCAGTTTTCTGGAGAAAGAAAATTTGCATATTCCATTTAACTGACCTATGGTTGATCTGTTTTTGCCAACTAGCCAGCAGTGGTAGCTGAAGAGAGACAGTATGCTGATGAAGAACATGGCTGCCACAAAGAAAAGGAATAGTACGTGGAACTTTGCATGGGTATCTGGCAATTCATTCTGGGAAGAAAGAGAGAAAGAGATTAATATGTTAACACTTCCAAGCAAGTAACGCAGTATTGTCGCTGAACACTCTCTGCCACACCCACTTTCCTATAGGTCTTTCACCTCACTTTTCAAATAGAAAAAAAAAAAAACCAAAACAAGCCCAGCTTTCCTTTCATGTCATGTTAAACTGGTGTACAAGAGCATTTCAATCTCATGGGTACTCCTTCCCCTTGAGTTCAGTAGCACAAGTGTATATGTTCATCTGTGCTTTTTAAATGCGCAGTAAGGGGCAAGGCAAAACATTTCCTATACTAAACAATGTTAACTGTGCAGCCACAGAGACATGGGAAAAATATTTCCAATATCACTTTCTTTGAAGGAAAAAAAAAAGGCAAAAATCCCATCCAAACCTTTTACTGGCAAGGTAATAATACTGGACCTAATTCTGAACTGGTGTAATGAATGTAAAAAGGAAATGGTTGTCATACTATGTTTCTAAGACTGAACTAGTCCTAGACAAGACATGGAATAGATCTTCAATTTTTTATGATCTCTACAGTTTAAGCAACAACCAGCATGCACGTAGTGAAACAAATTTGCCATGTCTGCCCAGGCACAAGTGATTCACCAGAAATCTATATAAAACCCAAGAATTTCAGTACAATCACTACAGAAAAAAACTCGCACCCATATCAGATAGTCGATTCCACCCCCACCTGTTTTTAGGCTTCCACTTTCAAAAGGCCATTGGGATTTGCAACAATACTATTCCAGTTCTACAGCCTCAAAATCACAATACTTTTAAGCAGTTAACCTTTAACAGCACTATGAAAGCAGAGAGGCTATTTTTATTCAGTTGTTTAGTTAGCATTACGGCCATTACTTTTTCCATTATTGCATTCACTACACCCATTTATCTAAGGCTGGCTTTCCTTTTAGACTAAAATACATTTCAATTAAGATCAAGTGCACATAGGTATATCCATATCCCTGTACACTGCCTGCAATCACAGGCAACAGATTACAAGTCTCCTTCCTTCTGTGATGGTGTAAATAGCTACCATTAATGACTGGACTACAAAAATTATAGTAGGAACAGCATTTAAATAATTACAGCAATATTGGATTTTACCTTTGGACAATTCTCTGCAGCTTTCCTGCGGCAAAGCTTTGCGCAAACAAAGACAATTTATTAAACACTAGTATTATATTAAGATGAAGCGTTTGAAAACAGCACAGGCTTTGGTAAGAACAAAATGGTTGGTGTGCAAATGTGCTCTTGGACGTGCCGAGTTCCAACGTCCATCAGCAGTTTTAGCCCCTGTTCTCCAAGAGAATGGAGGAGAGGGCACGTAAGAGCACACTACTAACTTCAAAGGCATGACATTTTCTACTGAAGCCCAGAAGTACTGCTATTCAGATTGTATAACTGGTTCCTCAGCTTGAACAGCATGACTACACCAAGTGCCTTCTTTGCTAGTTGTTTCCATCACCAATAAGATTTATGTGAATATTTTGTAGGATGAAACCATTTGTAAAAGTCTGAAAAGCTCAGAATAATCCTGAGGTATAAAGTAATTGTTTATTAACTACAAAGTTTTTCTGACTTCAGAACATATCTATTAATACCATTAGATGTAACTTCTGCCAAAACCATAAAAAAAACCCTGCCATTCTTTGCACATATTTGCTTGAAAAAGAACCCGTAACACAGTACAGTTTTAATTCTTCCCAATTTCCTTCAATATAGAGATGTTTTTAGGATGTATCTTTAGTGTAACATCTGAAATTGAACCAATACTTAAGAAAATAAAGGAAGAAACAGGAAAAGTTAGTTTAAAGTAGTTTTTAAATTCCAAACTTTACACCTAAAGAGCAGTAGCCACCTTAGCTAAGATGCTAGCACTTAGTGAATCTGTTGTAGGCAAGATTTATGGCTTTTAAGCTACATTAATGTGTGTAGAAGGCCTAGGAAGAACACAGGGATCTACCTCTGAGTCTGGCAGATATACAGTGTTTTCAAAAATGCTGGCTGCAGTCAGATCATGCTACATAAGCAAATGATAAGCAGAGTCCAGCTCTCCAAACTGCCATCTAAATTCAGTTTCCTTATTTACTGCCTGTTGTATTGCTTATTTACTGACAATTTGTCTTCCCCCTTCATTAGGGATATGTTGCATTATGTGATCCCCTGAAATCAAGGCTAGCAAAATGCTCCAATTACTGCTTATTCCTACATGTTGAAGCAATAATGATTTTTTCCAACGCAGAGCACACTGCGGGTTTCCTCAATTTCCTAATTGATTTTTGTAACTTGTATTTCTATGACTCTTTTGGAATTGCATATTTAACCAAAGTAGTTCTCTACAAAGAATTCTCAGGCCAGTTGATTTTGAAGCTCGAAGAGCGGCAGCAGCAGCTCAGTCTTTGTGTTTTCTGTGGGCCAGAAAACCTAAGTTTATTTTAGTTGCATCTTCCTAATTCAGTAGCTCTATAAACCTGGAGAAGGGTTTTTTGCATCATGTGTGATTGATCTGCATGATCCCCAGGGAGCATCTACCTCTTCTGACTACCCAGTTTCAGCCACTGGTTGTAAGGTCTTGAATGACAGTTGCAGAACTGAAGCATCTTTGAAAAAAGGCCAGTTTTTTTTTCCTGGAGAGAAGCCTGCAGTCTTTGAGTATGTATAACAGGCTTATTCACAGTGGTGTTCTAGTAGCGGTCCACATGTCCCAGCATGTGAAAAGAGAGTGAAACTTCACACATTGGTTATTTAAAGTCATTATGCTCAGAAGCAGCACAGAAGCACAGACTTACAGGTGAGAGAGCTGTAGAACTTACAAAAGGAAGCAATTTTCACAATAAATTTGAACTACTTAGCACATATAATAGACTGAAGCCAGTCCCTGTTGTAAAGAGTTCCCTACAAACCCCTTCACAAGACCAGAGTCATTTGAGCATGTGTCAGGTCGCAAAACCCCCCAAACAAGAAAGTGCTGTCTGAGCTTGATTAAACCCTTAGATGTGGTCTATGTCCTTAGCATATGTGCAAGAGGAATGAGGTTTTTTTTCGTGCTGCTCCTAATACAATCAAAGTTTTGCAAAGCATGTGCCATCCACTCGGAACACATATCACATCCTTGAAATAGCTTTACTCAGGATTGCAAATTAATTTGGAGGACAATGAAAAACACTGAAAACAACTGGAAAATGTAACAGTTTTAAGGAGGAGGGAGTGCAGAAAGAATATGAGTAGATACAGATATAAGCTGGGAAGCACCACCATGCACTATGTAAACAAGGCATCAAGGACTGGGCGTTCAGCCAGTGCTGGTGTTTGTGTCAAATACATTTGGCTAAACTGACATGTTATCTGCTCATCTTTAACAATTTCCTAGATAGAAATAAAAATTACATGAGTATAGAAAAAGCAGTTATGAGTATAAATAAAGAAATCAGTCACGTTTCCTTGATCTACAAAACAGATTTTAACAGCAGCATCAGGGTGCAAACTGTGGTGAACATTTCCAGTCAGTGTAGTTGCTGCACCACTGTATGAACAGCATCAAGACCTTTCTTCAGCACTTCTGCATAGAACATGAAAGGTGCTTTGTAAAAAGCAAGTTGGGAAACACACAGACTTTCTTCAATAGAAGAGTTCAGTAGGTGTGCACGTCTCACAATATTTCCAAGTATCTGCGAATGCACGTCATGTCTCCATGCAAATATTATCAACAGTGTGAAACAACGGATTGCTAAATTTTTGTACTTAGCACGTACACCTCCACAACCTCATTACAAGTTCTGAAGTGACCAAGACTACACTCCCCAAGAAGCAGTCCATATGCCTTCCCAACAATAAATATATCCAGCAGTTTGTTGCACCGTCTCCGTAAAGCATCTGTGAGGAAGCAAAAAATAAGCACTACCTTCTGAAGTTATACTGTTTCTGATACTCAAGTTCTGTGGGGAAAAAACAACATCCAGAGAGCCTCAACAGCAAAAGTCCAAATAGCAATCTGTCTGATGCTGCAGCAGACAAAGCTGAGCACTAGCAATATATTGAAGCAGTCTACAGACAGTATATATCCGCAGCATTCTGCTTTGGTTTGGATACAGACTTAAGAGAGAAGCTTCCAGAACTCTATTCTACAGTCAACAGCAGTTGCCTAAAAGCTTACATACAAGACATATACAACATTTTGCAAATCTACATTATTATGGTGCTGCCATCTCTTTCTGGAAATATAGTTTTATCAGGCAGTTATAGGATCAGAGGAATATTTGCTTTGTAGACTGAATGACTTAACACGAGTAACGTGAGTCAGAGATCTACTCTAATGGTAAGATCAGGGCATCACCAGATTCTGTATTGCAAATATCCGGAACTGAAAGCAAGAAGTGCAAGCATACAACTACATTGTCTATTGTTACATTTCAGAAGTAGCCCGTTCTTGCAGGAAGCGTTTCTAACAGCTAAATCAATAATAAAAAAAATAATCCCTCTTGAGTTTACTTCCTCTGCTCAAGAGTCCACTTCAATGTTGTGTCCGATGGGCTTTGGAAGAGTCTTGCTGCAAATGCTGGTATTAAATGTTCTTTGTAGTCAGTTGTCCTGTGGACTTTAGTTGCACTAACACTTACAAAGTAAGATGAGAAAGCACTGACTGGTAAATATGTAAGAGCACATCTATAGTTTCACTAAAAATCGCATACAAAGCACTGGAAAGCAGCCAGGCAGATGTTTGGGAATAGCATATTCACAAATTAAAAATTTAACTAGTTATAGTCAAGCAAGACTGAACAGCAGAACCTGTCAAGCCACAGTGTAGACTGACAAATACATTTATGGCTTTCATCTCACAGTACTGACAGCTCAGTGCCCACATAATTCCTTGCTCTCCAGTGACAGGTCTCTGTAAAGAACTGACAGACTAATAAAAACACAGTAGTTCGGCAGATCAGACCCACAGGCTTAGATGAACACAAAACCCCATGCTTTTTTGCACCATTTATCTTACCTAATGCCAACTGTCTCAAAGTACAGCTACCCTGAATATGATCAAGCTTCTCTTAACCTGACACAACAGCAGCATTTTGCTCCAATAAAGATTGCTCCTACTGCTGCAGATAATGACTGCTTTTCCCAGTTACTCTGACAGCAACTAGCATCTAAGAAATACGTGCTGTTATTTATTGAGAAAGATGTGACGGAGACCCTTCCACTAAGAGTAATTTTTAATGTGCTAGTTAATGGAAACAGATTAAGGGAATTCCAACACTAATACTTCAGCCTAGAGGTAGGAAGTCAGAGTACAAGTTTTCGTAGATGAAAAGGAACAAGTACAGAAGACTGTTCAGCCAGCGATGTGACTGGAACAAAACTGATAGGAGGAAAATAAGACTGACATACAAGTTGTCCTTGACATAAATGTTATTAAATCTATTAAGATGCATGTATGTGTATCAATCATTTGACAACTGATAATAGCTGCAAGGAAGATGTACAGCATTCACACTGTATATATCTTAGCATTCTACCCATATCAGATCAATAAAAGCTACTAAAATGAAGTTCAGACATGCCTACGTAGGGACTCCAAAACAGAGCTCAGTCAATTTCCAAGAAATTAGTCTGCCTTATCTGGCAGCAGATTGTCCATAGACAAGTCTAGGAAGATACAAAATTGTTACTTATATTTCACATTTGTCAGTATTTTTATATATAGATGTATATATACACACACATATGTTATTGTTTGATATGGCCAGTTCTTTATCTACATATCTATATTCCATAGTCTCAAAAAAACCCAAGCTGTGCCACTCAATTTTGACAGAGCAGAGAAATTACACAGTGTCCTCATCCAAACTTCCTCCCACAGTTAACTTATCCTGGGCAGTGTAATACACTTAATTCATTAATATTCAGAAGGCTCTTCTGCTTCAGTCACTTTGATTGATGCTGTTAATGATAATGAACCATAGAACAGAGTAAATGGTGAGTGACAACATGCTGATACAGCCTCCAATAACACATGCAGGATTAAACAAATGAACAACAAACAAAAAAAAGCCTTAGAACTTACTGTCCAAAACTTTATGAAGTACTGCAAGACTGTAGCAGCAACAAACAGACAGTACAGTAAGGAATACATTAAAAACAGGAGGAAGAATTTGTAGTTAGAAAATCCCACACAATTATTCACCCTAGAAGGAGGGGAAAAAGAAAGAGGTTACTAAGATATATAAAAAATAAAACAAACAAAAACCCCACAATACATTCAGCTTTTGCAGAGCATAATGTGTATGATGTCAAGTGGTATGTCCGAAACATTCTGGCACTAGTGTTTCAGAAGGATTTTAAGCCACTATTTTGAAGGAAATCTCTTTCCTCCAGCAAAATGATCTGGGCCCCTCACACAGATTTTGCCCCCATGATTCTACAGGACAGGACATGAGCTGGCAAAGCGTTATGATACATACAGTCTGCATAGGAAGCATCTCACACTATGAACTAACTGCAGTCATCATGGAAGGCAAAATAAACCTCTCCATCACTTTCAGCAGATGTTACTTTGGCTTCAAACCCACCTTTAAGTCAACTACTGATAGCAGCATTTTTCATAGCGATAGTAGACAATATTTTTAGTGTCAACCAGTGAATACAAACTGCAGAAGGGTAACTGGCAGAGTGGGTCATATGTATCATCTACGATCGAGAACTGATTTTCACATTGTAGAGGGTATCGCCTCTCCTGGTAAAAATACCAGAGCAAACAAAAGAAATAAATGTCTTTTCCCACAGGGCTTGTAAAGCCAAGTTTTCTCTTACATAAGAGGAAACGACATGATTTGGACTAGTGGGCTTACAACTCTACACTGCAACACACATTAGGAACAAGACTTATTTTCACATATTAAAGAAGTTCTGTGAAAATCAAGTTTTACTTCAGAGTTGCATTTTTGAAGCAGTGTCTAATTCATTATTATTATACTGAGTTTTTAGTTTTAAAAATAAACTTACCATGGACAGTGGTGGTCCATTTTTAGTACACATCTGAAAGAGATAATTTCCAGCAAGTTAAAGCAAAAACTACATTTTGTTTCTAAGACACATAATTTTAGCTACTACAGGTTTGAGGGTTGTTTTTTTTTAAAGTATTTTGCCCCACTATATATTTTTCAAGTCCTTCTCAATCATGCCAATTCTCTATATTAGAGCAGCCATTCTTTCACCCAAAAAGACCAACTGAGATTCAGAAGAGTTACGTAGAGAGTTTCTTAAATTAGCAGGGGAGCATTACTGAGCAACACCACGTACTGGTTCATTAAGCCACACTAATTTTATGAGCACACTGAGAGGAAACAAATCCAAAGGACCTTTCAGTGCTGTGTGGATAAGTATGTTATGCCTGGCATTCACTTCAACTAAGTCTACCTCAGGGCTATATTTACTACCTTTTTTGTTTGTTTGTTTGTTTGCTGCTTGCTAGGTTTTTTTTTTAAAGCTAATTGAGGAAAAGAGCGGAGCAGTGGATAATTTGAATAGTCCACATGCCATTTTAATCCAGTTATAGTGTAAGGACAGATACGAGACATTTCAGACACATATTTGCTAATAAACTTGATTTTAGCCAAAAAATGTGCGTTAAGTTCCTCAGTTAACTAGATTTCCTCAAGTTCAGCCTACTGAATTCTCATGTAGAGCCTCAGTTTTCAGTGCTTGTACAGATTTCTCTGATGATTCAGAATGAAAATAGGGAATAGCAGTGATGTCTTTGGAATGGTTAAGGCATGTGATTCCACTGTCAGTCTTTGAGATGAAGATTTTTAGTGTTATTAGAAGCACATATCTGTTTCAAGATTTCAGAAGCAAGATAAAATAAAAGAGTTGGATAACAAGCATTTGCTGGGGCTGGTATCTCAAAACTACCTTTCTTTAGTTTCAGTCTACGCTTTCTTGAGTTTCTTTTTTATTTTAATATAAGTTCTGTATTACAAAACTTCAAGCAGCTTTCTCAAAAAGTTCTGCCGTTGTAGGCGATGCTGCACTGTAATACTGCACCAACAGAAGGAACTTTGCTCTTTCATGAAATCCAACTATTGAGGGTTTGAGGGAGAAGAAATAGTAACTGTTATGCCAGGGCTGACACACTGAAGACACGAACACACTGAAGTGATGACTGCAGGAGAGGGAAAGTCCATAATTTCAGGTTCAGTAACTTACACGTCACATGCAGAACAGTGGTGGCAGCGGTCAGGCTTGATTAGCTGGCATCGATCGCAGTATCTGATTGCTGCATTCAAGTGCAAGGGGTGAGTCATTAGAACTGATTCAAGTTAATGAAAGTTTTTCCCCTTAACATGAATTGAATCTTAAAGAGCTTCCAGGCCCTCCCCTGCCACACCTGCTTTCAAAGACTGTCAATTGCCTACTCTCATATGTAGTTTTGATTTTTTTTAAAAGAAATATAAGATATAAAAGTATTTAAAACAAACTATGACTACTCAGTACGGAGCCCATTTTCATTTACTCTTTAGTTCCCAAGTATTCCCATCCTTCATCCTCTGGCACTGATCCCCTTTCACTTCTGCACAAGGTACCCAGGCATCCCATTGTGAAACAACATTCATTCAGCAAGACAACTTTCCGAATGGCTTTCTCTATCCTCTTTACCAAACTGCAATCTAGCAGACTGTTCAGTAAATCAGTTCTTCTTCATCTTTACTGGATATTTTTAAACAAGCCTTCAGGCTTTTCTCAATGGAAATAAGGCACCAGCACAGGCAGTTTGAAAGGAGGAGGAAAGCCAACACCTACAGCTGAACAGTATTGATAAGAGCTGGCAACAGCTCCCCAGACCACTCCAGGAACTTAAGACTGGGATTCCCTTAAAGGGAGGCTTGTACTGAAAAGAGCCAGGTGTCCTTAGGCTTTGTTTGGAAAAGTCACAGTAAATTTCGGTAACAGTTATTCCGAGTAGTTTGTGCTTTTGGAAATTCAACAGGGTTGCTAGTTTCAGGAAAGAGAAAAAGATAGATATAGATATATATATACATATATGTGTGTGTGTGTGTATAAAAAAGCTACAGATTTTCAAAGAATATACATATGCATAAGACAGCACTTTTCACAGATATTCATATGTAAGTTGGAATAAAAATGCCTATATGTATTAAAGGCAAATACAAAAGTAGCCCATCACAAACTTTGTACTGAATTACAGATGGAATTGCAACAACATTTATCCATTTGTAAATTGTAAAAGTACTTCAAGATCTTCAGTACATTTCTCCTCCTGCTGAACCAGAACAACTCAGAAAGAGAAGTTTAAAGTGGGGACAAAAGCGATTATAAAATTGAGCAATAAGTTTAATTTTCCCTATTGCTAGCTGTGTTAGCTATATTTCTTCGCTGCACTTATTTTTAATAGCCACAACTAGAGATAAATGTCCTCATGGGCTTGCTAGATGGTGATTTTTTTTTTTAAAATTCCAAATAGTGGCTTTATGCTGAGATCCCCAGAAAAAGGACTGCAGCTTCTCTTAGGGGGAATTAAACACCGGCCCCAACAAATAACAAAACAAGGTCATGGTATTTGCAACGTGCTTAATAGACTGTTCATTCAGTGACATCAAATGAATTTCACTGAATTAAAACTAGCAACTTCAGGAGCATAGAATGATCTTTAAATCTCACCTCTCGATGCTGTTGTCGTATAGATAGGCAAGTCTTTAGCAGCTCTCCTCAGTATCTCCTGCTGGGATTCTGGCCTCTCTTCTCTTTCATATTGCTCTTTGTCAGCTTTTGACAAGCAGAACTAGAAGGGATGGAGAAAATGGAACGGAGGGAAGAGATTAATTATTACCTTGTGTTCCAAGGAGAAGACCTTTCAGATGCCCTCTCCCACTAATCAAAAAGTGCCACATAAAGAAAAAAAGACTGCTGCAAAAATTACAGGAGATCCTTAAAGACTGCTGCAAGAATTACAGGAGATCCTTAAAACTCCATGAATGATGTTCCCAGATGTATTTTAAAGAAAATAATCTTTATCTCTCTTCCATTATCTATAGCATTTTCTCTGCAACACAAGGGAATCCAAAGACTCAGAGTGAGTTTTAAGGTGCAAACTTTCCTTTAGTTCCTGATAAGCATGAATTAAGTGATCTGTGAACACGAGGAAGGCTCAACAGTCCCTTGCTGCTACAAAGCATTAAAGTTCTCTTATCCCACTTCTTCTCTAATGTTGAGAGGGGTACAAACCAGATGGGCATAAAAAAGGCAGGTAGAGGGGTTGTGGTGAGCTTCACTGCTTCAGCATAGAAGATGAAAGAGTTTAACTGAAACTTTTATCTAAGAGTAGTCAAGACTAGTCTCAAAATTCATGAGTTGCATTGAAAGCAACTTCAGCAAAGCCTGTAGAGTTCGAGTGAGTTACAATTCTGAGTAAAGCCTGACAAGCATTCTTGCTGAGACCTCACTAAAACGTAAGCCTTTACCAAAAGAACCTGGAGACTTTTTTACTCATTTGTGAAACACTTAGTTTGGTATCTGCTGAAATAATATTTACCAATAAGCCCCACAAAACCCAGTGTGCTGACAAGACCCTTTGTGGTGGGCGCTGAACTCATTATTTCCTTTGGTATTTTTCTGTTTCAAAGAACTTCTAAAGTCTGAGCTTCCTGCATGGACTATGAGAGCCCTTTTTATGAGCACACACAGACAAAGTATTCATGGTAATGAGTGGAAAATGCTGTGTGTACAGCTGGAACAAAAACTGGCTCAGTGTGATTTAATATGACTGTATTGTCCTACCAAAAACATGTGCATGATTAGTTCACATGGATTCTCCTCGCATCCTGTACTTTTTCCTCTTTTGGATTACAGTCAGTTGGCGAGCAATAATGAAGACTCCACTTACAGAAAGGAGGAAGCAGTAAGACATTGCTGCAATTTCTCCGTGCTATTTCCCAACCCATAACGCAAACAAGCTGCCTCATAGCTCACAGAATCTAGTCAAGCCTCCTGTCACATATAGCATCACCCCAGTTATTGAACCTACCCACCCTTCAAGGGTGAAGCATGAAACATGTTTAAATAATGCCCTTTTAAATAACTGGACACTAGAATTAATCTATGCAAAGGGTGAAATTAAAGTTTAACATTTCAGTCACCACCAAGAGCTTGACCTCATTATTCAGTCTTAATCACTCAGATAGATGTTTATTCAAGTATGAAAACTGGAGATGGTCACATCAAAAGTTTAAGACAGATGTAAAAAGCATCATTCCAGCAAACAGCGGTGTGATATGCCTTCATCCCCGCTACCCATGTGAGTCTGACAGCAGACCCAACGCCTGTCTCTCTGACCTGCAATCAAGCAGAGGTGGCAAGAAACAAGTACTACTCCTAGACGACATTTCCATGGCAAATCGTTAATGCACAGAAAAGGAATCAAATCACAAGATTTAAAAATTTTTAAAATTTGTTCAAGTAGCATTGTAATATTACTCTGAGAATCCTGGACAGGATTTTAGTTTTCCAAAAAGCTACATTTCTGTTTTAATTTCAGAAATTAATAGGGCCATGAGACCACGGTCTCTTTGGACAATGGCAGGATACGTTCAAAGACATCAAAAGTTGTCTGTTACCACATAGCAAACAGAATTTCCAATGAGGTTCCAGCAGTTCTTATTAAAAACAGAAAGAATCCCTTTGTTTCCTTCCTCTTTCTGGACCTAGTATAATGTTGATTGTTCTTTCTTATGACAAATGTACAGGGATTACACCAAGACAACAGCAGCTGCATAATCCTTTTTTTAGTTCAACAGTAAGATCACAGGATGCTATTTGTTTTGTAAGAATGGCTAATTTGAATGACTAAAAATATATACGTTGACACTCTCACACAATGGAGAGATTCTGAAGTCTGTCTTTGTTTTTAAGTATAACCAGCATAAATTACTCACTGGTACATGAACAGAAGGGATTTGCCCAGACACAGAAAAAGTGGTGCTAGGTTTTTAATTTGGTTGCGTTTTGTGCTTTTTTAAAAAAAAATTTTGTGTGTGCTTTTTTTTGTTGTTGTAGATATGGTGGAATTTTTTTTCTCCTTTTTTCCATTTAAAGCCAATTTTAGAAGAAAATTGTATTAAATCTGATCTACCCCCACATCTGATATACAAAAAAAGTCATCACATGCCATATGCCCAAACCATCCCTTTCACTTGCTGAATATGAAAGGCTTTCTACAACGTTACTGCAACTACAGGGTAAGTACTGTCAGAAGTAGTTTTCTATTAATGAAGAATCCAAGCAGACAGTAAAAGTTACTAAGCATTAGCTTTATGAGCAGCTCTAGCTCATATAGCTTTAAAAAAAAATGGAGTAACACAGTTCCAACCACATTTTAATCAGCTAACATACTTAACTTTGTAATTTTCCTGCAGAACCATCCCAGATAAAGCAAAAACAATCACCCTGAAGACAAATTTAAGTCCCTCTGAATTTTCAGGTTTAGCAATTCATGGAGTCATTTAGGTTGGAAAAGACCTCTAAGATCATCGAGTCCAGCCATTAACCCAGTACTGCCAAGTCCACCACTAAACCATGTCCCCAAATGCCATATCCGCACATCTTTTAAAGACCTCCAGAGATGAGGACTCAACTACTTCTCTGGGCAACCCGTTCCAATGCTTCACAACAAGCCCTTCAGTGAAGAAATACTTACTAATATCCAATCTAAGCTTCACCTGACACTACTTAAGGTCATTTCCTCTTGTCCTGTCACTTGTTACCTTGGAGAAGAGACCGACCCCCACCCCACTACTGCCTCATTTCAGGTAGTTGTAGAGAGCGATAAGGTCCTCCTTGTGCCTCCTTTTCTCTGGGCTAAACAACCCCAGATCCCTCAGATGCTCCCCATTGGACTGTGCTCCAGATCCTTCAACAGCTTTGTTTACTTTTTATTGCTTAGCTTAATAGCAAAATAGAGTTTAGCTTTTTTACGCTTTATATTCTGTAGCTTTAACATACAGAAGATCTTAAAGCTATAATTAAACACTGCAGAGCAGTGTTTGCTTTTCCTTAGAAGCACGAGTTTAACTCTTCTGAAAAATGTTTCAGGTTGACATTAGCACTAAACATCAGTCTTGCCAAAAACAGATTAAAAATTCAACCCCCACAGAGCAACCAAAGCCTCAAATAATTTAGCCAGTTTAAAAGCTTTCTAAAAACAAGGAAGAGAAGGGAAGTATTTTAAATTTGGTGCCAGTATTTAATCCTTACAAACACACACATTAGAGAAAGCACAAAACAAGGTAATCCATCTCAGACTTATTGCAATTAATACAGTTCTTTTTCAAAACAAAACTTCTTACAGTCATCATGCATTCTTCTACTATTATATAAACCTTTCTTATGTAGTCATTTCTCAATCGTTCCTAAATCTTAACCCTTGGCTTACTAATACATGGGTTCAGTCCTCCAGGTCATGAGTATACATTGCATTACTACTTTCTTACCCAAACAATGGTCAAAACTGCCTATAAATATAAAAACACTGTTGCTGTATTTATCAGTTTTAAAAATTCCAGGTTTTGAGCAAGCTATTTCATAGCAAATCACTGTACATGACTGCCAAACTTGTGATGATTTAAACCCACATTTCATATAAGGAAACGTCATGACATCAAGCACAAGGTATTTTAAGAGTAACTTGATAATTTTCATTCATGATGCACTGTCATGCTGTTCTATTTTAGATAATGACTAGGGAAAGGTGAATCATGCAGTACTGCCAACAAGTTTCATCACTGAAAACAGTTCAGCTATTTATAAAAAAGGCATTGACATTTTTCTAACATATTTACCTCGTTAGAGGGGGTTGCAGGAGATGTGAAAATTGTCTTCCCATAGGACCATATAAACATGACAAATGACAGATGAAAAACCACAAGGTAGACAACTGCAATAAAATACAAGTGAGAGTTTGGTGAATATAGCTGAAAAGAACAAGAAATAAACCCCCTGATCTTTGAGGGCTAAATTACTACAGTACAAATCACCCGGTACAATTAGGTTAATCCCTTTTCCCTGGGTAGATTTAGCAGTCTAGGACTGCTCACTTAAAAAAACTAAAACAAAACAAAAAACCCCAACTCATCAAACGTGATGCATTGCTATTCCTCAAGAAAATAACATGTTTTTATCTCAGAATCACAGAATGCCCTTTAACAGTTCCAGGGATGGGGCACCCACAACATCTACAGACAACCTGTGGCAGTGCCTCACCACCCTCACAGTGGAGAATTTCTTCCTAATATCTAATCTAAACCTGCCCTCTGTCAGTTTGAAGCCATTCCCCCTTGTGCTGTCATTACATGCCCTTGTAAATAGTCCCTCCCCCAGTCTCTTGTAGACCCCCTTTAGGTACTGGAAGGTGCTATAAGGCCTCCCTAGAGCCTTCTGTTTTCCAGCCTGAACAACCCCAGCTTTCTCAGCCTGTCTTCATAGGAGAGATGCTCCAGTCTCCGATCATCTTCATGGCCTCCTCTGGGCTCACTCCAACAGGTTGCTATCCTTCCAGTAGTGGGGACTCCAGGGCTGGATGCAGCACTCCACATGGGTCTCACCAGAGCAGAGGGGCAGAATCACCTCCCTCAACCTGCTAGCCATGCTGCTAGCCCAGGATACAGCTGGATTTCTGATCTGCAAGTGCATGTCACTGATCCATGCTCAGGGCTGCCCTCAATCCATTCTCTGCCCTGCCTGTATCTGTGTGTGGGATTATCTCGACTCATGTGCATCCCCCAAAACTCCCCGCAGAACTGAACACAGCTTCACCTGTGGCATATAAGTGACTAACCTTTTTGGATAAAGATGATGATGCTGTAATTCTGTTCTAGATTATAAATTTGATTACTGGCCTACATAATTCAATTTAATTTCTACTTCTAATAGAACCAGCACAATATTGTGCCATTATAGAAGGCACTGGTCATCAATGACAGTAAAAATTCCCAAACAGGGATTTGAAAAGGACTGCACTCCAGTTGTGCTAGCTGGGAGTTAAAAATTGTGTTATTATATTCCTTCAAATCATCTGAGGAATACAATACAGCCTGGAAATGTCCTATTATAGTCCCAGTGGCAACAAAACGTAGGTGGCTTTAATAGGAAACTCAACCAATTTACTAATGGATTTGTGTGATATGGTTGTCTTAAAGATCAGAGATCCAGACTTTATGTCTCAGGAAGCCTCTTCTAATCTTGTTTCCTCTAGCAGTTTCTTTTACCACTTGTCAAGAGGAAACAGATCAGTTGTACCAGAAGAACAACTCTTAGGAAAGTCATATTAAATATTTACATTATTTTCATCTATATTATCTTCGGTTGCAGGAAGAAGGAAACTTGGCCTAGTTTCCTGTGCAGATGAAGAGAGTCCTTTAAGAAGATGTATGATGTACTTTACGGATGGCAGAACTTGTGTCTGCCAAACTTTCTTCCAAACTTTGGGAGACTCCAACAGCTCAGAAAATTCTTGTACACAGCCACAGAAGATGTGGTCCTAATTTATTACCTTTCAGGATTTTCACGGGGCTTATTGCAATGAAAACAAACTGCATTTGAGATTTCTTTTGAGAATTATGCTTTTTACCTCTGCCTACGACTCTTACGACCTTACAGACAGATTTGGCAAATTTTCAGCTGTGAAGCTGATTGAAAATGTAAGAAAAACCTTTTTCTAAAGCCATCCTAAAACTGTCATCCTGATTGGAAAGAACTTGCGTATTACTGTACTAGGCACTGCATAATTAGAAATTTTCTTTTATTAAAAACATAATCTACATTCAAACACAGTGTGGTTAAGCAACTAAAGCATGAGAAAATGGTTTGGAAGAGAGGAGAAAAGGACATAAAACTAGAGTGGAATCAGTGGCACAGATCAGAACTTTGGTGTAGAAAAGGGCAAGAGGAATTGAATAGAAGGAAAGAGGAAATGAGATACAGGGCAGAGCAGGGCACAGCAACACTAACTTCCACAGTAAACAGTTCTATTCTGTCCATAAAAATCACCCCCAGAATTCAGATTCTTTTGAAGGATTATTTTTAGTGCACACACGATACCTCAAACAGCAGAGCCTCAGTCTTGTCACAGACTGTAAATGCCCCAACACAAAGAATAACAGGCATCATGTCTGGTTGCAGCAAGGGTACAGATCTGTGCCAGTGCAACCAGAATTTACTAGAAAGAGGCAGCTGTTGAAGTGCCCTTGCACTTTTCGTATAGCTGAGATCTTGCAATCTGTCACCATCATTAAAAGCCAAGGGCCTGACTTCAGTAGCCAGTGACAGGCACCACCCAGGGAAAGACCCTGCAATTGGCAGTCCATACTGGCCCCACCCTGAATAAATTCTTGCTTCTTTTCCCACTCCCATGCTGCCATTCCTCCTGTGATTACAAGTCACAGTCAGTGTTCCCCAATAAACGAGAGGGAGGGAAGAGACCATTTTTGACAGCTTTACTTTAGCAGTCCATCTACCCTCCACTTTGGGTAGCAGCATCTCCTCTGCAAGCTCCTCCCCAAAGCATCTTGTATCTGTTTCCAGTACAAAGAAAAACCGGGCTCATTCTTAGTGAGCTCATTTTCTTGTAATTACAAGCTAGATGGAAAATACAACTAAAACCTCAAACCCCAATATCTGCCAGTTTAGCCAGACTCAGTCAGAGGAAGTCCTGGCTAAGCTAAGGCAAACCAGGATTCTTGGTGGCGTGCTGTGACTGAGAGAAGTTCATTCTCTTTAAAGGCACTGATGCATACTAGACTGTAATTCATGGCCTCAGGAAGACAATGTCTCAAGTCATGTTCTCAGAATCCTCCTAAAATATGCTAAACCCCTCCTAAGATTTGCCCTTAACATCCCTTTCTGAATCATTCTTAATATTACTTCCAAGACAAAGTCATATTACAGAGAAGTAATAATACAACAGTAGTATATTATACTGTTAAGAGAGATTCAGAGTTGCCTTCCCCCCTCCCCCATCCTAATGGATATAAAATCAGACAAGAATATAACATTACGAAGAAAAAATTAGCCTTAATGGGGTGAAGAAATCACCGCTAATTTAATCACAAGTTGCAATTATACATCAGGGTAAAAGGATTTGAACGTAGTGCACTGAAATATGGAGCAGAATACACTTGCTAATATGTACATTATTGATTTACACAGCAATGTTGCTGGCACTTTGGCCTTTTGACTCTTCTGATGTTGATTCCTGGCTGTTGGGAGTTAGCTTATAAGAACTTTATAAATCTTACACTAGCTTTCTTTTCAAATGAAAAGAGACTTCACATCTCACTTTAAAAATCAACCTTCATAGTTGAGAAATCCAAGCATACAGGATGCCTATGACATGATTCAGAACTGGAGGTGCAGGAAGCATGCAGGTGACAGCTATTAAAAGCCTAACAGTCAGGTTCTAATGATACTGTCACTCTCACTAATTAATCTAGCATTTTAATTCTGTGGTAGATATAGAAGCACCTGGTTCAGTGAGACAGGCACTGCGTTTGTAATAAAGCCAGAGATCTGACTACGCAACACCAACATCATTGCTCTCCCAGGCTTCCTTAACTGAGACACGGATCTTGCTTTTCCAGAAGAAACTAGCAAGTAAAACTTATTCATATATAGGTCAGCAGTAAGCACAGCAGCAACTTGCAGAATTTTGTGAAGTCTAGGTAAAGCCCAGCAGTGAAATGGGATGTAAAAATCCAGGGTAAGACAAGCTCACATCTTGAATGGCTTACAGTTCACACTTTGAAGGTTTTCCCCCTCTTTGAGCTCTTCATTAGAAGATGAAAAAGGACAAATTCTGCCAAGGTTCCCTCATTTTACAGTGTTCTTGTAGATGTTTCCCACTAGGAAGAAAACTGCTAGATTAGCCTCAAATTCCGTGCTGTTTCACAAAATATCTATGAGGTGAGAACCTCTTACCAGTCTGAAACAGCTCTCTGTGGATAGTCAAACTGCAAATCTATGCTTAATCTACTACTCACATTCCCCCACAAGCAGAAATGAAATCCCAAACAAATGTCCCATCAATAATAGACTAGAAATTTTTTTGGTCAGTTTATATCTCTGTTAGTAGGACCCTTCGTGGTATATTATTTGCCAAAGCCAATATGAAGATTAAAGTAACATTTGTCAAAACAAGGCCCTAACCATTTGACCTGGACATCTACAATTATAATGTGTAGCCACTTCTGAAATGGTCGTGTTTTGCACATTTCTAACTAGTCCTAAAGAATGGGGTTCTGCAGAATTTGGTAAGCTGTTTGGAAAATAGCAAGCAGTACAACAAGTCATCCTCTTCCAGAAGTCTTTCGTGTCACTCAACTAAACAGAAAATAGATTTGTGTATTTGCTGTAGTTCCTTCTCTCCTCTCCTCTTCTTTTTTTGTTCTTACAAGGTACCCATTTAAAAATATTTGCAAACCTAAATCATAGCTGCCTTACTTGCATTAGTCACAGCTCTTGTCATCATCCCAAGTTTGTGATATTAGAAGCTAAACAGACTCAACTGTACAATATTTACCTTGTTTCTTAGCACTAATCTACTCGCTACACAGAGCTTATACATGAAGGAGTACATTTAAATTCTGTGTCCCTTAGGACTTGTGTGCAAAGCAGCTATTCACATCTTCAAAAAAAAAATTAAAAAATTACCTTTTTCTGCAGTTGAAGAAATAGTAACTGAAAGAGAGAGAGAAAAAAAGTGTTAAGTAAATCTGAATTGAATTGAGTTTTTGGCTAAAAGCAAGATATATGAGGTAGTCAACTTGTTCCAGAGCATACTTTGGGTGTTAGTAGAACCTCCCTACCCAACACTGGGGTAAACCAGGAGATAGTATTCCTCTTGTGAACCCTTGATGCAAGGTGAGTTAGTGGAAGAGCTGAAGGGATACAGTTCCCTGCACTAATGAAGCAAATGCATTCCACAGATAATTAGACTAATTTTATGCATACTCCCCTTCAGATATGTATCTAGCTTATTTTTCTGAGTCAACAGCTAGGCCAACAGGTGTACCACTGAAAAACAGAAAATTTAAAAGTTCTTACAGAAACCCCTCTGAAACTGTTACAAGTTACCTACTTCCTTCTCTTAGTTTTCCCCATCATTTCTCTCCTACTGTCACATACTATTTTTGACCTTTTTTTCCCCTGACCTGAATTCTTCAGGCATAGTTAAAACCTCTCCACTTCCCTATCTCCTACAGCCCCATCTCCTTTCATGCCAACAGCAATTCTATTGTTCAAATCTACCTTGTATACTGCCTGACTACATCCTCCTGCCCCCAGGCTTCTCCAAAACCTTCACACTTAGTTCATCAGTTCACGTACAACGATGAACAGAGAACTGCTGTACTCACTCGGGTGCTTTGCTCATATCACTTCCCTTGCTGGATCTCTTCCTTGCACACTGAATTACCGAAATTTTAGGAGGAAAGGATTTTTTCCCGACTCTTCATCTTACAAAGAAAATAGAAGCTTCTGGTCAACGGCATGACTGAAAGGTTAATAGAGCACACCCTGGCTACTGCAGTTTACCTCACTCCACACTATCTCCCTTCTCTCAGCTCTGGCATTTTGACTGTCATTAGCTCAAGTGCCTCAGTTCAAATGAACTTGTACCTGGTGCACACTGGAGTCCTAAATCTGCAGAGCTTCAGTATGTATTGCAGACTGCCTTCTGAAGGATAGTTTTGGTTACAAAGGTGGCACGTGTCTCACTTACCTGCAGATACCTACAGTTAAAGGGTCTGCAACTATATTATGATACTGTGCCTCATTCTACAGCAAGAGACATAATGAGGTGATATCTCAATTTACAGATGACCTCTTTTTGTTCGGATATGTTTTGGGTTTCCTTCCTTCTTTTTTTCCCCTCCCTCTCCCCTGCCTCCCTTTTCTCCCTGCTCCCCCTTTTATTTAATATCCCCACTCTCTCTGTCTATGGAAGCCTCTATGAAGTTAATGGAAAAGGTTCTGGTTCCTTCCACCTAAGGAAGGAAGAGATTACCATTTGGAATAGGACACGGTTGGCTTCAAACTCAAGGAGGTCAATCCTAAAGAACAGCTTAATTTCACATCAGTTATGTACACTTGTACAGCCTCCTCCCATGTTTCTGTCAAACTCCACCGTGTGCTACAGAAGTCTAATTATTTTTAAAGAAAATCCTGTGTTTTTGCTTGAAATTTTACTGATGTGTTATTTCTCCAGTTAGAACTTTTTCAACAATGCAAGGAGAAGATAAAAATCATTGAAAAGGTGAAAATTAAAATAAACTCGCCCAGTATGGTTGTTTGCTCAACTTAAGAAAAATACTAAAAGTACTTTAGATTAAGCATTGTCTTTGACTCCTCATATCTAAAGTAAACACCTTTGCACACAGCTGGATAAACATGCATTTCCTTAGACAAGAAATATAAAAAAGTTCTTTATTATCCTCCAATGGGATGGGAGAACATCATCACACTTTTTGAAAGCAATTCTGGTTAAAGCACTCCTTAGTTTGTAGCCTCACTTCTGCTCTCAGCAAAAAACAAAGTTGTCTTTATGTTTCTATTCTTTTCACTGTTGTCATGCCCACTGTCAGGTAGATGAAATGAACAGCAACCCTACTACACTTGTCCAAATGCACTCAGCAAATGGCACATGAACAGCTTTACAAGATCGTTATACTACAACACAAAGCCTTCCTTCACGTAAGTTCATATCCATCTTTATGTAAGAAAAAACCCTTTAAATATTAGCTAGGCTGGCCATTTAACAGGCAGCTTTACACCATCAAGAAATCAATTCTAGCTTTTGAACTCTGGTTCAGGGGAAAAAAACCCACATAAGACATTGCCGTTGTGGTTTGCCATCCCTGGTGTTTAAATTACTGTAGTTTAAATTACATCCCTGTAGTTTAAATTACAACCGTAACTCTCTATCACTTTTCTCCCTAATAGTTTTCTTCTAACTATTAAGACACTGCTGCCAGCTTCCACTAATTTAGTATCACCTTCACTTCTAAAACATGGTTTCTTGTTTGGGATGGGGGAAAAATCAGCACTGTCTTTTTGCTTACTGATATTTTTTTGAACAAAATAAACTCTGCATATGATTTAGATGTTAACCTCAGGATGCAACAGCACTTTGCACTAGATATCCGTGTCAGCACAAGTTACTGCCTTCAGCATTGCAGTCAACACAAACCTGTCCACGTTTCAGAAACATAAGTACCGCAAAACAGCTGATCTTAGAGGATTTTAAAATATATGGCCATATCAGTGTCCTGCTCAGATAGAAAAGGAAAAATATTCTTTGGATTGGTTTCTTAATATTAAGTGGGTTTTGTTTTGCAAGAAGATTATGAAGTTCTAGAAAGGTATGCTAAGGAAGGATAAAACAGGACTAGACAGTGAAAGCTGCAGTTTACTTCAATGCAAAGAGCTCAGAAGCATGCCCTCGGGGGCTCAGACACACAAAGTTTTCACAATGGCCTCAGATTTCAAAGGGTTTAACACCTCAGAATTACAGCATCAAGCAAGTCAAACAAAGTGAACAAGCCATGTAGGTCTGACTGCACTGAGAGCTTTACCTTGGCTACCTCGAGGTTTCCAAAATCAACCTGACTAAGGAAGGAGCTCAGCAAAGCCTGCCTTTACACGAGGGAAACAGGCCTGCACTGAATGAACTTCATGCTGCTGCAGCTTGTCTAGGGATGTACAACACACTCTGTCAGCTGGTCCTGTACCACTGAGCAGCTCACACACCGGAGACTGCCAGTGCTTTGATATATGAAGCACACAATACAAAGTATGTGGGTTCACTTTCTACAGAACACTACTTCCAAAATACACCATTACAGCCTTTTATTAGGCTGGATTCAAATATACTTAATAACTCAGTTCACTTAAGAGGATAAGCAGAAATTGCAGTTCTGACCTTACAGAGGAAACAGTTGCCTCAGTTTTGATTTAGAGACCTAGCATCACTCCTGGCAGCAAAACCACTTTTTCCTTCATGATCCCAGTCGCTGGTTACACCTTTCAACATGCTCTTCCTTACATTTTTGCCCGTTATCTCTCATCTCACCTATGTCACAAGAATGAAAAAGCGGAAGCCTACAGATTATCACCGGAAACAATCCTGCAGACATAGGGCCATCATTAGCTGAATAATAAATTAAAGTAGGGGAAAATGTCATTTGTTGGAAGCATTCTTCTTGGAGTACAAACTAATAAAGATGTCAGCTTCAGAAAGCTTTGGAGAATTTTTTAAGCTGCTTCAAGGAAACCTCTCAGAACATCTTGAAAGAACAAAGAGCTGGTTAGCTTTCAGTTTCAGGCTTATTTTCAGGATTGCTATGAAGTGTTCAAGCATCTTCCAAATCACTGCATAATAGGAGAAAGCCAAATCTCTCTATTCTGAGGCAAAGGGGTGCAATGATCTGCCAAGACCTTTTAAGAGACATGCTAAAAAGATGAGACATTTCACTTCAACCTTGAAGGAAAAGAACCCCCACATCACATCTTCCTACTCCCCAAAGCCAGATATTCTTTCTGTGGAGCAAAAAATTCAACTGCAACTAATATAAAAGTATAGGAAAGGACAAGAACTGATCTTGTTACTGAAGTGTTATGCTTATTTCCCCATCCCCTCCCACGATGGCTCCCAACAGGAGTCACACTTTGGTTATTACAGCCTTTCCATGAATTTCAAGAGTAGCATTCACATTCTGGCTGACATTCCTCATGGGTGGGAAGAAGGAGTGATAAATGCGCAATTGCATCCCTTCACCAGATGTACAGCCTTAACTTTTCTCAGCTTTTAAGTAAAAGGGTTAAAAATATTAACAAAAATAATATATATCCATCTGTATATATATATATATACATGCACACATGCATACACACACGACATGTATTTCCAGAAGCTACCAGTACTGAAGTTAAGGCAAACTCCCCACGGGCGCTGTCCTGTCTGCAAAGGCAAGCCCCACTGACATCATCTCAAGTTTTTCATTTGTTCAGAAAATTGGCATTTTATTGGAAGTACAACTTAGGTTTACTGATACATAATTCCCATTTGCAGATACAGACCTTAATCACCCACAAGAATATGATAGAAACAGTACTTACTGACGCAAGTGGGACAGACAACAAGTCAATTTCCTTGAGCAAATACTCATTTGGCTTCTATTACAGGGCAGTGTCAGCGCATGAAGACCTTACCACTTCTCCACTGTTCTCTAAAAGCCTAAATTCTGTGACCTTTCCACACTGAGCTATTTCTTATTTCCCAAATGGCAGGCACCCACTAGGTGCTTTCCTCCCTAAGCAGCAGGGAGTTGTTTTTAGACAAATGACTCAATATGACTGAGTTGACAGCATCATGTAGCCAAAAGCCAACGCAGGAAGAAGATGCTGCCAGGTCCCTGCTGAAAGGCTATGGGGGCCCAGGAACTGCACACACATCCGCTACCGGCCGGAATGAACGTCTTCAGCAGGAATTTGAGCCGTACAAGCCTAGAATTCTTTTATCTTCATGTGGTGCTGGACTGATACACTTTTTTAAACTCCAGAGATCCAGGAATAGGATACAGGTATCCCCCCTCCCAGTGTACTGCCAAGTGATTCAGAAAGCAACATTTTATAGAACTGTGATGCAGGAGATGGGGCTCCACAGGCCTTCTTCTTGTGCT